TAACAAACACACAAATGCACACGTTGCCCCTGCCCCAGAACGTGGGTTTCCAGGCGAGCTCCAGTGCTCCTGACGAGCGTCATGAGCAGCTTATTTTCGCTAGCATCAAGTACGTCTTTCTTCGCTAACTATCTTGTGACACCTACACCCAGCTTTTGCTTCCAGGGTGTAGGATTTCACGTCAGGGATAAGGTAAAGCCGTTCTCAAGTACATCTCCTCCCAACCCTAAACTCCAACATTCCGAGGGCCTCTAACCAGAACCTACATCTTCTTGGCGATTTCTCACCCCTCTATATTGACTGAGCAGGCAACGTTCGAGAGCAAAAGACATCTTGGTGTTTCAAGCCTGAAGCCACAACGCACGAATCTCACGATACCCGAAATCCGGGCGAACCCTAACTGAAGCCCCTAATCCTGCAAACCCTGACCCTATCTACAACGAACGTGGGTTAAAGCGATTACGTAAGCTCTGTTGGGGTGCAGAGGGTCTAGATCGCAGGGCTTTACGGGTACTGCCGGGCTTTGGGGCAGTTTACGGGCTGTAGATGCAAAGCACCGATCTTGCCACACGGAGTTGTTGCAGTGGCGGGTGGGCTTCGTCCTAAAACATTCAGATCCCAAGCGCTGACCTCCCAACCGAAAGATCGTATAAACTCAGCAGGCTTCACCCCTGTAGCCCCAAAGCCCTGCACCGCTCGACATCACAAATATCCCAGGAACCAGCCGACTGAACCCTGTGCAAACCCTGTGGCCTCACATTGGAAAAGCGTAACCCTGAAGTGGTCGTGAATTTAGGATTGTGAGATACCCTTACACAAGCAGATGGTTGTCGGTAATCCGAAGACAAGCGCTGACCCCCCAACCCAACACGACCTTCAACTACAGCCAAACAGGAATCTCCAAACCCTGAAAACTGCAGGAACTCCTACACCCCGAAGTCCTAAACTCCGAAAACGCTGGAGACTGGTAACCGGTATCGAAAATTCTAAACATATGAAAACTGCGATCGAAGATCCTCCGACCTGTGAACACTCACTCCCCCAAATCTTAACATCTGAACCCTGAATCCCGAAGCACACCCGCGTCCTGGTCGCCTAGGAAAATCACCTGGGAGCCACAGCAAAGCGAAGCCGCGGCTTCGGGAGCTCAGTATAACAACACTTAGTAAGGGTACCCTGAACCCAAAACTTCATTAAACTTCCCTAAACCCTCAACCCAGGGTACTAAGCTTCTGATTCGGACGTACAAGACTTCGACCGGGCGATGATCACCAGATTCTCTCCGTACGCAGCAAGATTCAGCAGCCTGGCCCCCTACCCCTCCCATCAAACTCTACCGCGCAGGCAGGGTATAGAGTTTACGAGGCTAGATTTTAGGGTTCATTAAGCCCCAGAGAGGAGAGGCTTCGCTGCACTGAGCTGCACACCACATGCCCGGCATTGCGATACACGGACAGGTTGACGGCTATCCGCTGCGACACCTCTGGCGCCACGATGTTGCGTTGGATAAACATATTGGACGAATGGCAAATGTGTCTAGTCTGGGCCCAGGGATTTAACTTTGTGCAGACGGGCGAAGCCAAACTCAGGTGGAGGTCTCTGTAGACATTCTTCTAACTGAATGACCGGATCTCTGCGCTTAGAGGTGCCAGTGGCAAAGCATTTCACCGAGCTTTGAGTCAGGCCGTACAATCCTGCTAAGGCATGTCAAATGTGGACTACTGTGGCTATGTTGACTCCAGAAGCACCTCGTACTCGGAAGTCTCGGTGCATAGCACCTTGTGCATGGGCCAGAGATCGCATAATGGAAGTTTAGGCTCACATGGACACTGCGTCATTTTCACAACAGTTCAAAGCCAGAAGCATTATTCTGGCTAAGGGGAAATAGGTGATGTACTACTAGTCAATGATTTGCTTCGGCTCAGCCAGTTGCCCTGCCTTTGGGGCTCAGGATTAGCTGAATGCGCGATGTTTCAATGCACCAGTTTCGACTAAACGGACCCAAACACTCCAAGCCCTGTTGTTAGAAGCCAAGCACTCTTGCAACCGCAAAAGCCTGGTGTCGATCTTACACTTTTGCCACGCTTGCAAAAAGAAGCTATCTCACGCCTCCCTCAATACCTTGTACAGCCTGTATGCAAAACATCCCGCAACTAAGCTCCAGATGTCTCAAGCCTGCGAATGCTGTGCCTGAGCACTACTCCACCGCTCGTAATCAAGAGACAACAGCCTTGAGAATCCGTGCAGAGGCATCCATCCACCTGCAAAGGGCTTGGGTCAGCTGATGCATGTGCCCGCATGAATCGTACATTTTGCTGATAAGCCCTGTGCTGGGAGTCGAACCAGAGAGACCTGTGGATTACCATTGCTAATCATTCCGGCCCCTAGATTGGAATGAGTCAAGTCAGAGCCAGACCAGATTTTCATCAGGTCAGAACATCTGAGATCATGCATGCATGGATGCATAGGAAGGGATGCATGTGTCTGTCTGATTGTCTGTCTGTCTGCGTGCCTGGCCGGACTGGCCGGCTGTCTGTCCGTCTGCGGTACACTTGTCTGTAGATTAAGCATGTTTGATGACATGGCATCTGTGATTTGTTGGATATGCGGCCCAAGACTTGCGATACAGGTGGAGGTTCACTAAAAAAACGAGAGCTTGGTGAAGGATTTCTGTAAGGCCCAGGGTTCAGGGTTCCGGGTTGAAGCCATGCATGTTTCCGGAACTCAGGCCTCACAAAACCCCATTTTCCCCAACCACTCGCAGCGATTCTTGCCGCTGAGCTGCGTAAGTCCTAAAGGGCATGATACAGGGACATCCAGAGACAACTACACAAAATCAAAAGCGAACAGGCTTTATGTCCTATACCTGCACGATGAACTACGTGAGCCGGAATTTGTATGGGACACAAACCCGCGACTTCGAAACTACAGAGCAATGAACAAAACAGTCAGTCTGAGGTTCTAAGCCCTCAACCAAGCCATCCTCAATCCTGAATATACGCCCTCCAAGCCCTATAAGCTCTGAGTTCTATCTGCTTCCTGTCAGAGACTAAACCCCTAAGCCAGAAAGCCGAACCAAGCAATCCTCAAGCAGTCGAACCCATGTCCGCCTGTTCGGGTGGTCTTTGTAGTAGATCGGAAAGATGCTGCCCTGAGAGACTCGTTTAAGGAGGTTTCAATTGAAACGAAGGATTTCGGATTTTGTGCCCCGGCGAGCAGTGAGTGAGTGGGTTGAAGGCTTAGGATTCTGAGTTTACGATTTGTTGTTTACGGCTCATGCTGCCGATTCTCCGATGTTGGCGTCGCTACTCCGAACCCGACACCTGCGATTGCCATACTGTCGTCGCACACATGAAGACTTGGTTCGGCTCCCCCTGAATGGAATGTATCTAGGGTTCCTGATTTGCTGAAACGATCAATTGAGTTGGGGGGGGGTCTTTGGAGTCTCAAAGCTTGATTGAGTTAGCGATGACATTCTCACCGATTGAGTTCGCGATGACTTTCTCACGGGACATATCATAGACGCAAACCTACACCCCTACACAACAAAACTCAGGCAGACCCATCAGAAGCCCAAACAGACGACCCTATCTGAAATAGGCCATATTTACACACCACCATGCAACCTATTCTACTCCACTGTGAGGCCCAAGCCCGTTCACATATGGAAAACAACACAACATCCAGCCTCAAATCGGCAGCACCTCAACTAAACTGAGGAGGCCTGTTCTACTAAAACTATTATAGTAGGGCCATTAGTGATCCGTAACAACTCAAGGGGTATGACTACATTGCACTTATGATGTGTCAATGGGAGCTCCAAATTACCATTCTCTCATGTTTCCCAAGCAGCAAAATATGATCTTCTAAAAACTTATCGTGTGCGGGCAGCTGGCGTCTATGGTTAAACTCAGCCCGAAAACATGGGGATTCGAATTGTCGGGCCGGACACTGTTTGTGGCTCGAGGTTTAGGCCCCAACACTAATAAGAATAGGGTTTTCGGCATCCGTGTTGTACTCTCATGGTTTTAAGTACACAAGGACAAAGGGTACGATGACTAAGTACTGTTTTTTCGACACCTATATTATGGAAGTTCGGCTTTCCAACTGAAGCAGTGGCCGGCCTGTGTTTGTGCTAAGGACACTCGGAGGCTAAGCTTCACGCAATGCTGTGATCATCACCAAGGCCTCAGCCAGCAAAGCGATGCAGGCTATGGGCTGAAGGATGAGAGTTCACATCGGCTTAAGGATTTAAGTCTGAGGTTCGAAGATCAAAGAGTTAATATAGGCTGAGGATAAGAGTATATTAGAGTCTAGGACTGGAGTTCAGGGTTTATGTTCAGGGCTGAGCGCTAACGGGCTTCGACAAGTGAGGCGGATCTGCCCTGTAGGCCAGGAACAAGCTAAGAAATAACATAGCGACCTAAATAATTAACACTATTGTTTCTTGGGATCACTTATCAAACAAGTTCTGTAATGTACCGTATTCCGAGACGGTGGTCTCACTATCGAGGCCTACTAAAGCATATCCGACACGTTACGGGTTGAAAAGCAAGTACTCACGAGTCACCGCGACACGCGGGCGGTTTCTGCTACTTCGTGACGGCGTGCCACGCAGTCTCTGGAAGTCGGAGAAGCATCGTAACTAGACAGTATATAGCCGCCTCATCCCAGACAGTCTGATCCTGAAACACAGGAAATCTGAACCTACACCACCCTCAAGCCTGTTTGCTTGCCTTACCCCTACACTCAAACCCCTGTGCCATCGTAACTACAATAAGCCACCTAGGCCCTAAAGAACCTTAACCGTAAAACCCTCGCGGCGCACCAGAGGGTTCATATATACTACCAATGTGGGATTAAGCCCCAAAAGACCATCCCCATGATGGTTTTGGGGACCTAATTCCATAATGGTGCCCTAAACCCTAAACCCCAAAACCCTAAACCATAATGGTAGTATGTATGGACCCTCTCGATGGCAGGGCGGCGTCCCTTTTTCATCACAGCTCGGTCCTCCCGAAAAGGCGCCCAAGAAGGCCTCGGCTCAGGGTATGGGAGTTTCCGAAAATTAGGGATACCTTATTTTGGGATCCTTATAACTAGGATCCTACTATTTAGGTTTGATTTGAAGCTCTTTTGCTTGAAAGGTTTAGGGTTTAAGGTCTGGGGCGTAAGGCTTATTTTTCCCTCCTTCCGGCTTATAGGGTCTAGGATTCAGGACATTAGCGCAGGGTTTTAGGGATTGGGGGTTGGGGGAATGCTGGGGGGTGCATTAGACCTATACCTAAGCCCTCAAAACTCACCAAACTAAACGGTGCTGATCGCCCACCCACATCAAAACACGGCCCAGGCGCCATAGAATCCTCGAGAAGTGCGGCGGACTCCGGCGGATTCAGCCTGCAAGAAGGATTTTTTTCCCTCTCACATGGCTGGCAACTATGTCCACTGGCGAGGTTTGTCAGGAACTTCTCGGAGCAAGAGGGATTGAGAGCGTAGGGTTTAATATAGGGGCCTTAATAATTAGAATAGGGTTTGGGGGCCAAGTCACTATACTATATTCATAATGAGGAACCCCGAAAATAGTATAGGCAATTATGAGGGCCCCTATATTTCGATTCAGGCTTGTTGCATCTTTTGTTGCTTTCAGGTTTAGGTTTAGGCTTTAGGATGTAAGGCTTCCCGGGGAAGCTCCCTGGGAGAAGAACGGATATTTGTATATGCATGCTATGCTAGGACATGTATGAGACAAGTGTATGCATGCTTCGATAAGTATATGTGCGTGGGTCCGTACTTATATGTTTACAAGTATATTATATATATATATATATATATATATATATATATATATATTTACAAGTATATTTATTTACTTATCTATACAGAAAGCGTCGCACTGCAGCCTCGAATTTTGAAGCTTTCTGTTTTCACACTATAGGCCAGACTTTGTGATTCCAAAGCATCCCACTATCTGATCCGAGATGATGGGCGGCATTTCCAATCTTCTCACCCATTAATCAGAGTATTGGTGGCAAAACCTGATGAGCCCCACTAGGCCTGAAGCCTGTCAAAATTCAGCAAGGGACAACGGGTGGCAAATATGAGAATATGGTGGGGAGCCAACACGGTAGAGTTTAAAGCAGAAAGGCAGTGTTTCAAGCCCAGCTGACAGACAATGAGGGCTGTCATAATAAACACCATTGAAAGATTTCATAGATGTCAAGCTTCAACAATAGGTTGTTAAAACAAGAAAATATTGACTACTTATATGCCCAGGCTTTATGGAGAGATAACGGATGGCAAACCGAATACTCTTTATAAGTGACTTGATAGAAGAAACCGAAATCTCTACTGCATAAATGTATTTGTCAGCCACCATTCCGTATACTAATTTGGATAAGCTTATGGAGGACCGTGTCCTCATCTTTGACATTTATAGCTGGAGGTAAGACGCTATTCCAGAAAATCGTACAAATGCATTTCAAGATCGCTTGTTTTAAACGTGCGTGTGTGAATGCGCGTATACACACACGTATGCGTATATTTAAATAGTATATATATATATATATATATTTATATTTATATGCATGCTCGTATCTGCAGGCACATAACAAAGGTGAACAACACACATGTGGACACAGTGCTTGAATGAGTAAGTCAGTCATTGAGCAAGTCGCTCGTCAGCATATCATTGCTGGCTAACTGAATACATACATTCCTTAAGCAATTGATGGATTGTTTGATTGCTTGCTTGTTTGTTTGGTTGCTGGGTGGGTCGGTGGGTTGGCGGGTTGGTTGGTTGGTTGGTCGGTTGGTTGGTTGATTGACTGATTGACTGTTTGACTGCTTGTCTGCTTGACTGATTGACTAGTGGCCTGTTTAACTGATTGACTGACTGACTCACCGACTGAGTGAGTGAGTGAGTGAGTGATTAGTTGGTTAGTTTATTTTAGCATGGGCTTGGATTGTTAATTAGTTATAGTTACTTGATTAACGGATACATTGAAGAAGAAAGAACGGATGTAAGCAAGTACGTAAGTAATTAGCAAGTAGGGAAGCAAGCAGGCAAGCAAGCCAGCAATGTAGCAAGCGAGCAAGCCGGCAAGCAGGTTAGCAAATCAGTGAGCCAGTAAGTCAGTAAGTGAGCATGCGGTACGTCAGACGCAGTCAGTCAGTAAGTAAGCAAGCAGGTGAGCAACTTACAAAAAATACAGCGTCAGAAAGTGAGTGCGTGAAAAAGTGCGCCCGTCTGTCTGTCTCTGTCTTTGCAAGGAAGTACGTCAGTCAGTTAGGAATGTCGTGGTTGCTGATTGCTCAGACGCAGCGAAAATCCACGAAAGGCCTTGCATAGCTCTGCATTTCGCATACTGCTGGCACTTTTGTAACTTTTTCCCGAATCGAGGCCACAAGGGATTGAGGGCACACATCGTGGTACTGCTTCAGAATCCGTTCGCGTGCGGTGGCAAACAACTGTCACACCAATTCAAAAACAGGCCGCTAGCACCGGCGTCCCCGTGATTTACACAGAGTTTGAATTTATCTATTACCTGTTAAAGAAATGTATGTAGTTCACCTTGGAAGTAAGGACTCCTTCAGGCAAGTATGTTAAGCTGTGGGGTTTTGGCACTTGGTCTTAAATAGGTTCTGTGTCTGGTGTTCCGGTTTTAGGGTTGAAGTTAGGGCTCGCTCCTTCCATTGGATTATTCAACAAATCACGATGTTGTTGAGAGTTCGGCGGGCGAAGGTCATACTCACGCTGACAGATTCGGGTCGGATGTGGGCTTCAAGACTTTTTCGCGTGCAAGAAAGGTTGAATTTTCAGGACATCCGACTTACGCTAGGCCAAAATTTTTAAGTTGCAGGATGTGGGAACTTGAGATGTGACGATCAAGCACACAGTCGAAAAGATTACGGCCCACCTCCCAACTTGTAAGATTGAAAAAGCTTAGCATGTAAGTCAGGGTTCAGACCGCAGGATACAGATATTGGATTCAGGGTGGCCTGCGATGCGAATGGATCGAACAAACAGCTCAAGGCGTAGCAGTTGCGATTTAGTTGTTTCGCTTTCGGCGAGAATGTGCGGGAAACCGAAGAATTCTCGGGGGTTCGATACTTCGAATGTAAAAAGTTCCCTCTTGCCTGTTGCACTGGACTGTCCAAGACTCGCTATCCAAGACTTGCATGGTGAAACTGCCAGGTGTGACAGCTGGGACTAGGCCGACGAAACCATAATTACCGATACTATTTTGGTGGTTCCTGTTTATACTATAGTATAGTGGGCCCCAAAACCCTATGCTAATGATTAAGGTCCTTGAAAGCAGCCTTCGGACCGAAGACCCGTGAACTTCCCCATGCTAGCACCGCAACTAGCCTCAGCCAAGAACCGAAACCTTAGGATTCGGGGTTTCGGATGCAAACAAGCCTGAGCCAACCCTGCCAAGCCCTGGACCAATCCCGAGCTACACTACCTATAACCAACCCTGAGAAGTGTTGCTGGGCTGGCCTTCCGGTACCAGAAGTCTGCTTCCGTTTGGTTCTGTGGCACACCACGGCCTGAGAGACACAGGCTCTAAGGTTCACGGTTTAGGGCTATAGGGCTAGGGTTTTCAAGTTGAATGCGTAGGTTTGAGGGCTTGCGCTCTCACGAATCGGAACTTAGACAGGGTTTAGGTTTTAGGTCAAGCCGCTTGTCAACCCACGCTGCCCACGCTCTAGCCCACTCCCTATCTACGCCATGGAAAAAAACTTGTTCTCCGAAGCTTAGACAACGCATCGTCCAACCCCACATCCTTTCGACCCTCAGCCTAAAAACAGCCACAGTAGCAATGGTCCCTACACGTGCGACCTCGTAGAGATCGGGTGAAGAAGCCCTGAGATCTCCATCTCCGGATGGCTTTCGGACGCTAAGGAAACCCTCAACCCGAGAGTCCGAATAAGAACCAGGTGGGTTCAAGTTCGCTTCGTCGGACTTCCGGCAGTCACAAACAAGACCTGGCCCTGCCTGTTTCTAAAGCGACGGCCAGCTCGTATTGTGCTTGGCCTCAGGGCATGCCAAAGTGTGGTGTACAGAAGAATAGTAGTAATTAGATTACAGTCTACAACACATTGCCGCATATCATGGTAGATTTCCTGGCAGATTATGTTACAGGAGACTATATACTGTTCTAAAGTGCAGTTTACAATACACTGTTCTGCTGGTGGGAATCGTTGGGTCTATGAAGTTTGCAAAAACTTTGTGCAGAAAGGGGTTCATGCTAGGTTTTCGTTAGAACTCGCATCCAAGCAAAATGCGTCACTGTGCACAAACTGCCTGCAACAACACTCATGCCTGTGCTATGCACGAATGTAGTGTTCAGGGCTTTGGCCAAGCAATCAACCATCGTAGCAATAGTCGATCCTCAAAAAAGTCGTATACGTCTGCGTAGTGAGTATCCAGGCGAAACAGTGCAAGCGAGGGCTCCAAACCCAGCAGTCGAGAACACCTAATCATGCATGGTTTGGATTAGGGTAAGGATTGGGGTGTGTTCGTTTGGTTATTCCATGTTGCAGCTGAGGATTGAAGAGCCGAAACCCCGAACTCGCCATCCGAACCATAAACACACTTCTGTCCTTAAGCCCCCCCCAAACCCACATCACGGTCCAAATCTAACTAAAGAAAACATGTCGCCGTGATCTTGTCCTGCAGCTCGCCGGAGCCATGATACAGACTCCTAAGGACCAAAGCTTTTCGGATAGGAGTTATGGTAAGTTAAGTTATGGTCAGTAAAAAAGTCTGAGGATCAGATAAGCTTTCTGGCACTTGCACTCGATAAACCGCGGAGATCAGGACCCACGCTATGCCGCTATACCCTCAAACTGAAACCTTCACGCCCCAACCCACCGCCTGGGGCTTTAAATCGGGATAAAGTGCCATCCTGCCTTAATGAATCTGAACAGAATGAGAAGTGCCGGCCTACCGCAAACGTCGTGCAACACCATCCGCTGCGAGTTGCTTCCGGGAGCTGCCTCATATGCCCTGGAACTATGATATGACAGCTTGGACAAAAAACAATGGACTGCAATGACAACTGCCAGCCATTTTTGAATACCAATAACTTCACACGCAGCCCAATGTCCGCACCACAAGCATGCCTATAGGGCCACGGATGCGCAGCTTTGGTTTCAACGCTTTAAGACGTAGGTGTACGGTTTATCGTTCAGACCTGTGTTTCGTGGATTTGCGGTGTGGGTTTGAGGTGTCGGGTTTTTCTGGTTTCGGGGCCATGAAGCGATCTTTCAGTCTCTCCTACGAAGCCCACAGCGACTCATGCGCGAGCTCGACACTTCCAAAAGCTAAAGTGCAGGCTCTGAAACAATCGATCCCCCATACTACTCCAACAATCGAAATCCAGCATCAGGCCCAGAAACAAGCAAGCCCGGTGCTTCAAAGCTTGGAACATCAAAGCTGATTTGAATCAAAAGCCTCCAGCACCCGAAAACGAATTCCAGGGATTCGGGTAGAACTTGACCTTGGGGGCCTGTCTATAGATGGCATTTTGTCGGTGTGCAGATACTTGAGCGTTCTTTTCCTATGCCTCAGTTTGCCGTTCCAGAAATTACGAGCTTATCTCATGGAGCGTGCAGTTCCGAGCTCTGCTTTGCAAGGGCATGGTGAAACGAGCTACTCCGATGAGGCTGGTGTGAAAAAAGAAAGCCCGAATTTGTGACAGGTTATGGTAGACGTGCGAATATTGCACAAATAAACCAGGTTCGACATGATACTCAGTGAGCAGCAACATGTAGTTTATGCGTGTCAAGCAAGCTCCCTGCGAAGACTTTCCAGCTGGCCAACAGCAGCCCTTCAGCGTAGGTTCCTACACTTGGTTGGACCATGTACCCATGAGCCTTGCGATGTTTAGGGTTTCTGAGCGCTATGTTCCCAAAGTGCAATGCAGTTTCTGTAGCTCATGTTCGAAATCCCCCGTTGCTGGCATAGGCTTATCGGAGGTTACGGTTATGGTGTTCGAGGTCGCGAATACCGAGATCCGTGTAAATTTGCATTAAGCTGTGTCTTGTATATACATCAAGACAAAAGACGCTCAGACTTGTCAAAAAGTTCTCCCATCCCATATTTCCATCTGTGGTCTGGGAAGTGGGCTCCGCCAGTTTGGCTTCGACGCTTCACATGAGTCAGGTCAGGATTTTCGAAATAGGGCTTCAGGGTTCAGTATGGTTCAGTTCAGGATTGAGAGCCTTCTCTTTCAGCTTCAAGTGGCTAACATCGCCATCCCTGCTGCAGGCACGGTCGTGCAGACGAGTAGATCTTGAGCTGAAGACCCTCGAGAGGAAGTGCACCGAGCCCAAAATCCAAATTAATCCCAAACTACGAAGCCGAAACTGGCCTCAACGACAATCGCAAGGATACAAAACAGGTTGCCTCATAAGCTTCCTGGCAAATTACTTTACATACGTGGAGGCTTGCCTATGTCTATGTAAAATCTACACGACACACACACACTCTCTCTCTCTTCTCTCTCTCCCTCCCCCTCTCTCTCTCTCTCTGCCTCTCTCTCTCTCTCTCTCTCTTTCTCTCTCTCTCTCTCGCTCCGCTCCGCTCCGCTCCGCTCCGCTTCGCTTCGCTTCTCTCTCTCTCACTCTCTCTCTCTCTCTCTCACACTCTCTCTCTCTCTCTCTCTCTTTCTCTCTCTCTCTCTCTCTCTCTCTCTCTCTGTCTCTCTCTCTCTCTCTCTCTCTCTTTCTCTCTCTCTGCGCGTGAATACACAAGTATATAGTTAACTATACATTATATACATATAAGTACATATGTATGCGAAACATGAAAATACACAGATGTATGTGTGTGTTATAAATATATATATATATATATATATATATATATATAGAGACATACACGAAATATATAGTCCTGCGATTTCAATGTGGCTGTGCGTGCTGTCGTGAAGCCCTGCATAGGTAAGCCATATTGAAGCGTTAAAATCTACTCTAACAAACTACTCAGTAATCTGTGTACACACCGAGCCTGTACATCGCTGAGACAGTACTTATATGATGAAACACCACAAAAACATACATGTATGCTGGAATGTAGTCGCGACGATGGTCAAAGCATAGAGAAACCATAGCATGGTAAGGCGACACCCGAGGTTACCGGGCGTTCAATTTGTGGAAAGAGCTCGACAGGTGCATGAAGTACCTTGTATTCCTTCATTTCGCTCGGAAGTGGCGGCTGACTTTGTACCGCAGTAGTAACACGTACCCAAGGTTGCATATAGCAAGCATGTGTGTGTGTGTGTGCCCGTGCATGCGTACATGTTTACGTGTGAGAATGCGCGTACATGCATATGCATGTGAATATATTCTTATTACAGTATATTTATGCACACTCATGGCCCTGTCTGAGCAACAGCATGTATGATTGCATTATGCATAATCATGTGCGTGGCATGATGCGAGAGTTCAAACTTTAAGAGACATTAAAACCAACCCCCTCAAGCCCTACGCTCCCAAACTCTGACGCCGGAGCCTCCTAAACCTCTAGCACCCCTAAACCCCTACCTGCCGAAACCCTAACCTCCTGAACGCCTACGACCTCTAAACCCTACCCGAATCCCAAACCTCCTCGCTCGCGGCCATGCCATGGCCTTGTCGACACAGCTTGCCTTTGGTTGGGAGCAAGGTTCTGGGCTTGTAGGCTGCCGGAATTGGAGGTTTGGAGTATCAGGATTTTGGGACAAGGGAGTTTAGGGCTTCACCGCTCAGGGACGGGACTGGCAGAATTCAGAGCTTGTGGAATGTCCCAAACCCAAGTTCCTGGTAGCCACAAGCCCGACAGACTTAGCAGGCTCCATTATCCAACAACTCGCTTACCACACTATAGCCCCAAGACTCCAAGTATACAAATAGTACCTACTTTGGGGTCTAAAGTCTATAAATACTGCCGACTTTGGGCTATTTGGAATCTTAGGGTAGGGGCCCCTTGATCCGAAAGGCAAGATTGAGGATTTCCCGAAGCCCGAAACCGGGAGTCCCGCAAAGCAGGGGTTGACTTCCGGAGGTCTGGCACAGCCGAGCTTTGAAACTTACCGGGATAATCCTAGCAGTTCGAGGTCTAGGCTTCCCGAAGAGAAGTATAGCAACACAGACCCGCCCAAGTGGCAAAAGCCATGTTCCAAAAAGCGGGTTTTGGGCTTAGCAAATGAACACCTCAAATACAGCAAGCCTACTTTGGCTGGTGTCCCCAAAATGCCACGCTCCTCTGCACCGCAACACTGCGGCATTGTAGATTCCAGTGCAGGCTCCTGAACCGTTCCTGAACCCGACAGTGTCTGCATATGTATATATACATATGATACAGCTACTCCAGTCAGAGGTCGTAATTCGCGGACTGCTAACCAAAGGTTTCGAGCTTTACGGAATTGAGGCCGCGACTCATCATGAACTGGCCTGGGCAGGGGAGGTGGCTCGAGCCGCTGGCCAGTGCCAGGCCGTGGCACAGATAAACAGCAATAGATACAGAGCGAAAGAGGGAGAGAAGACCAGAGAGAGAGGGAGAGAGAGAGAGAGAGAGAGAGAGAGAGAGAGCGAGAGAGTGAGTGAACAAGACAATCCATGGAGAGACGCATGAGCCGACAAGCCGACGGACAAACACATGGGCAGAAGGGTAGACAAACAGAAAGGAGAAGGGGGGTCCAAACAGGCAGACAGGCGGGCGATCAGGCAGCCTAGCCATGTGCGAGTAGGAACGTATTTGGTGTGGCAAAGACGATGCACATAGAAATGCAGGTGCGGCCTTGAACGTGCACAAAATCACCGCGATGCGTTGTGCTGTTCGTCGCTACCTCTATCTAGAATCTAGATTTCATAGACACAGATGAAAAAGCTTAGAACGAAACCATAGCAGCAACAATTGTTAGACATATGTTACAACCATTACGACCATGTACAGGTAAGCATAGCCACCTTTGCTGACTTCTGCGGGGCTCAATGTACAACTAAAGCGCCACCCGGTATAAACGCCTCTCGATTCCCAATGTTCAATCGTTATAAACATCTGTCGATGTGCGTCGCCCCTATCCAATCACCAGCCGTGAGCTGCACTTCTGCGCCAGCCCTCCCCCCTCCCGAGCCTCCCGATGCACCCCATGAAGGCGACCGCACAACAAAAAACCATTGTAACTCTCGACCGCCCTTAATGATTACCTTTATTTTGGGTGGGCTGCTTATTACAATCATGGCAACCACGATGCCTTCTTTGCTGCCTCCTTCTGCAGCTCTTCCTGGGAAGAGGTGTAGCTCGGATGATCTACCCTTTACATGGCTTTTGTGGAATTTCGTTCTGGATGTCGGAGGAAAAAATCCTCAGGAACTACATACTCATTCGAACCCACACAACAGACATGCAACAGTTGTACAAGGGCCTCCTCACGAATCAGAACACGATTAGAATGGCACGTGGCCTCCGAATTCGCGTCCCGAAAACACGCGAAACCTTAAATGTACTTAGCACCAAACCAAACCCTACACCCTAAGCCTAAGCTCTCAACCCTAAAGTGCAGTCTCCCCTTTCCTCCCTTTTGGGGGCAGAACGAAACCATCTTGCCGACTCGACATCCGAGGGTGCCAGATCGGTTCCCACCTCGCATGCGAATGAAAAGCTTGGAGGTAGGGCTTTGGACTTGGGGGGTAAGGTTTCGGGTTTCCGGGTAGGGTTTCGCGTTTCGAGTTCATGGTTTAGAGTTTGTGGTTTAGGGTGTGTGGCGCTCTAAGAGATTTCCTGGCTGCTTGTTAAGCATTACAAAGATGCCAAGCAACAGGCGACTTGTTGTGGCTAGCTTTTCTGTTTTGCGGCCTCGGTTTTTTTGCCGGCTAGATGGGCATCAATGGGCCGTTCTTGGACGCTCAAGAAAAACGAACTTCCGAACCCTAAAGCCTAAATCCGTGAACCTATACTGAACTTAGAACCCTAGCAACAATTACAGTTTTAGCTGTTCCTTAGGGATTATAATGACCAAAAGTTAAAAAAATATTTCTAAGTACCCCTAAGGAACCCTAAAGCCTGGTCGAGAATACATGGGATGGCTTTCAGAGCTCCAGTTGTAGACGCATTCGACTGTCAGGTTGTAGGATCTGCGCATTTTGCTGGAGGATATAACCATGGTGGTCTATCGAGGTCAGTATTTGGCAGTATCCTGGTGATCCAAATATCAATATAGCAGCTCAGAGTTTCAACCTTCTACCACAACATGCAACGGGCTCAACCCCTAAAGCCTGAACACTACACCCTTGACCCTGCTCCCTGCAGCCTAGCACCCCAAAGCCTGACCTTCACCTAGTGCAAAGTGGACCGATCCATCGCCAAGGTGCATAGTAGGCATAGGCTAGGTTGTACTGCGCCTGAAATGATCTGGGCTTCTATTCAGCTTGCAGGGCTCACGGTTTCGGCGCTCACACTCGGACAATCCAGGCGAGGCATGTGGGTTCGGAGTCATTCTAAGTGAGACTTCACTAAGAGGAGGCGTCATTGCAAACACCACGGTTTAGGGCGCTCGCAGAGTTCATATTTGGCTGCTTTGGCCTAGTTGGGGTGCTGTATACGAGCAGGGGTGCGTAGACAGGATCGTACTATGTGGGGTCGGCATTCGGGATTCTGGGGCGAGTTTTGTTCTGTTGCCCTGACATACGGGTAGTGCTCCTTGATCATTTAAATTTAGGGTCTCGTCACGAGACTAGTCTATATCGAGAATCCTTTCGCGTTTAGAACTCCCATATCCACAACGACTGCGATGGACGTTGAAAATTGGCACTGCTCGTAACACAGCTAGCAGCGTCTATGCTCCAAGAACAAAGCGAAATACCTAGTTCCACAACGAGCTGAAAAGGTTCAACGCCCAAGCAGCAGTGTTCGCAGATTCCAAAGATAGAAACCCCAGAACGATAGTTGTATGTACACACATCAAGTTTGCGAGTTGGTTGTGTGGCTGGCTTCCGACGATAATCTAAATCGCGAAAATCCTGACCAAGCCATTGCAGGTCCTCAACTCGATAACCCAAGACCCAAGACCCTGCTGACAAGTTGCGAGGACATGACCTTGCTCGGCTGCACGTGTATACCATCCGATCGCCTAGATTCGGCTTAGGGTTAAAACACTTCACACGGAAGAAGGATCCCGAAACGAATTTCAGAAGGATGATACGGTATTCCGATGCCAGCGGCGGTTTCGGCTTTGTGATGGCAAGGCACTGGGCTAGCTAGAAGCTATGGCTTGAAGCTTGTGCGATGCTGAGACCCACATGCTGGCGCCTTGCGAAATCTCAGCCTTTGGGCAGTTGAATTCGGCTGCAGCTGCCACACAGACCCGTCTAGACCTGGTTTCTTGGCTGACCGCCCGTTCAAAAGCCACTGATATGGCCGTCACGGCATTGAGGTTACAAGCTGCAGACAGGGAGGACACAGCGAAGGCTGTTCTGGGTTGGGGGTCCGTTTGCTGGAACAAAAGTCTTGCAAACATCCTGCTGAAGAAACACACCCGGAAGCTGTGTGGGCCGTGATCAGAGCAAACTGCAGCTAAGAAACCGTTCAAAACCCTAGACCCGATAACACCCCCCAAAATCCGTGAACGCGACAAGTGAGCCTGCAAGCACTACTTCAGAAGTCTTGACTACCACCACGGAACCTAAAGCCTAAACCCATCAACCAAAGCCTGCGGCCTCTGAGACGTTCTTGGGACTCCCGTCGCCCCGGCTCAGTGCCACGGCGAGGTTGAACATGGCCTGCGTTTTTGTATTAAGTCTTCACGCATGTTTTTTTGTTTTTACGCTCCTTTTTCCGTTTTCGTCCTTGCATCAAGTCGATTTAAGCATGTTTAGGGTTTGGGGTTTAAGGGGTGTGCTGAGCGTTTCGGCTTTAGGGCCGTTGAGAGATTGGAATTGTACATGACTGTACATGCATCGTTTTCTTGGTCACCTCAACGAGTACCATGTATAACAGTGGTTAAATCAAGAAAGGGGCTACAATGCAGACTACAGGCAGGTCAAGGTCATGAACTCTGTCAAGCACCGACGTGATCGCTACAAGCACGCAGTAAGGCCCCTAAGCACCCGAGACTCCGCAGTTGAGACCCCGAAAGCTCGAACCTCTATGCAACCTGCAGTCCGAATGCGTGAAAGCTTAGGGTTTATGCTTCGGAGAATCCCCTACATTTTTAACTTATGAGGCTTTACATGTTTCACGGTCACCTGAACCCCACTCCTGCGAACCTTTACTATGGTGGCTGCAGAGCGCCTCTATCTGGGTATGGGATTCTGAGGATATAGGGGACCCTAATTCTAGCACCCTAAATAATAATCCTTAAACCCTAAACCCTAAACCCTTATTATAAGGACCCCAAAGTAGGGTTCCTCTAATGCTTCGGAAGGCAACCTTCGGGCTTGTTCATAGGATCGCGGCTTAGAGGTTCTCCCTGTCACCCGGAAGCTTGCGTTCTTTGGCGGGTTCATGTGAAGGCCTTATACGGGTTTAAGCAAGCCGTGACAATGGGATAGCTTGTTTTGCTTTGGGGGTATTTCCTATGAAACTAAGAAAAAACACTGACAGAGAGAACTAGAAATTCGTCAAACGCCTATATTAGAACCGAGATTTGCAAGCCCTAGGCTCAAGTAGAACATATTGATTATGCGTCGCAGGGCCGACGACAGAGATTGGTACAGCTTGTATGGAAACTATTGCAGACCGTGGTCAGCACAAATGCTCGGCGGAGGCTAACAAGAAACACGCTGACAACACCTCGTAGTGCTCATACCAACACGACTTCCGTGCCACAGGAACAAGTACACGAATGCAGTATGTATCTATATGCATGCAGGCATTGCCAATGGAGTGATGATGATAATTCTCGTGCCGATGGTGCTCATTATGATCGGGGCATGCCAATAGCCGAAACCAAAGAGCCGCGAGCAGCGATCACAATTCTACAAGTTGTTGAAGCTCCGTGGTTCGAAATACTAGCTACCAACATAACACATGCTTTGGGCAGCTTCTGTCACCAAGCAGCAGAACGTAGATAGTCTGAATAGGGCTTTGCAGTATATGGTCGCATAGCTTTATTCAGAATCCCATAGGAAGAGTATTTGTGATTATTCTGGCGCCTAGACTGTCGAAATCCTGGACCCCAAGTACTCCTAAACCCTACTACCAGTATTATATAATCCCAAACCCTCATCCCTTGTGGCAAGAACCCGGCTTTGGTGTGGCCGAGCTCTGCTGCTCGCCGCGTCCACACGACAGCCTCACAAGCAAAGTCTGAAGGTGGGTTTAAGTCTTGGGGCCTGGGGTGCTCTTCCTATATATAGTTGTTGCTGTTCCTTCGGAGCTGCCGTGCTCCACGGTGAGAGCTTGAGCACGGGAACAGTCCCTCTTTGAAAAAGCAACTACAGCTTAAACGCGGAAGGTGCTAAAGCTGCCGGGGCTTCAGCCAGCACGGCCAGGCAGCTTCAAAGCATTGTTGAGGTTTTACTTGTTTAAGAATAAGGGTAATGAGCATGTTGAGGGTTTATGAACCAGCACCCGCGGAAAACATAAGCAATCGGATTTCCCGAACGTGCGGGTCATCTTGAAATCCTCCACACCAGTCTCTTGTAGAGGTCTACTTACGATACCATAGCCCTTACGGGTGCATAATCCATCTTTGACCCCATTGTCAAGGCCACTTCCTTTGGGGTTGGGGAGCTCGGAGCCTGATCACCTTCAATTATGCTGTACTTACTCTTTGTTCATCTGTTGACTGGGGTATATAACCTTCTTTTAAATTGTCACAAGGCTTAAGGCTTGACCTTCAAAAAAAGTGGGTAATTGGAGCCACAGGTACGGCCAAAGACCCCAAACCCTAACCCCCTAAACAGATGATCGACCTGCTCCACGTCTCGTGGGACTCCCCGGCCCTCGCGATAGGCCGCGGCGAGGTTGTACCTGGCCATTCCCTTGAACCCTAAGCAAATCACGAAGCCCCCAACTCCAAACAATGTGCACTGCGCCCCAAAACCGTAAACCCTGAACCCCGCAACCCAAAACCGTAAACCCAAACTTTGAATCTGGCTCTCTCTGATGTGCTGTGCTAGAAGGGGCAGACTGTCCCATATAACTCACAGCCAGAGGCTCCGAAAGGCCCACGACACCCACTGGTGGCATGCACTTGCGAATCCGTCGAAATGCCAAACACCACTCCCCGAACTACTATCGACCCTCCGACACCATCACAAATAAGCGCTACAAAATCCTTGTGAAACTAAAACGAAAGCAAGATAAGACCGAATAGGAACTATAGGGAAATGCCCGATCTGCCAACCAAGATGCATGGCTTTGTCCGCCTTTGCGAAGCTCTGGCTGCCCTGTCTTCCGGCGCGACCTCAGGCTTTCAAAGCAGAGGAGCCAGGTGTTAGAGAGGTTGCATTCAGGATTTCAGACTTCAGACTCTAGAAGAGTGTTTTACTATTACTATTACTATTACTATTACTATTACTATTACTATTACTAATACTACTACTACTACTACTACTACTACTACTACTACTACTACTACTACTACTACTACTACTACTACTACTACTACTACTACTACTACTACTACTTATCAGTTTTGAAGATCTACGACTTCTCAAGTTCCGGGTCAAGATGCTTCAAGCCTTGACTGCTCAGCGGCTTATTTCATGGCTCGGAGCTTAGTTCGACAGGGCTTTGGGGTTTCTGCCGGGTTGAGGTCTTCATGAGATACCAGCCTTAACCCTAGACTCTACCCTAGGGCTCCAGAGTAGTTCCTTTTTGGGGCTCATATATAGAATTCTATTAGGTAATCCCAAAAAGGAACTACTTTGGGGCTTATGGGTAAACCCCCATCCCTAAATTAGGACTTCGAGGTCAGCCTGCAATGAGACCCAGGCGTTGAGGATTTGGGCGCGAACTTCATACAATGTCTCAGGGAGCTATGTTGCCAAGTAGAGCACAGCCCGTGCACCGTCAAGTTTGCGCATCAACCTGAAAACTAAACCATCCTCTTCTCAAACCCTAAACCCCTAAAAACTAAGCCCCAAACGTTAAATCCAAGGCTTCAGGTGCTGGGTTGTGAAGGCGCAGGGTTAAGGGCTCCGTGGCCAAATGCAGCCAGGGATCTGAACCAGTGGGCAGCTTGAGACAAGTCGGCCTCAACGCCGTCCTCCACACGATGTCTCCAGAGCTGTAGATGGTTTTTGATTCTGGATACTGAAATGTATGTAATGCATAGAACTGTATATGTAATGCGTCTGGGTTTCGAGACCTACAGGCTTTGCGGGCACAGCGTGAGCATGTGCCACGTGTGGTGATTTTTGGAGCGGCTGGGACGATATTCCTGGCAAGGTTGGGGCTCGGTGCGGGTCCAGTCTCCAGTCTCAAGGTCACGCCTCAAAACCCACTGTTGACTAACAGCTTGTTGCAAACAACATTGACATAGGCTAAACCTCGAATATGTATTTCGCGACAAAAACCTGCAGTCGCCGAGAATCCATAATCCCAAGCCAAGATGTTTAATGAGCTGAAGTGTCATCTGTTGCTTCCATTTATTTTTAAGGCATTGCGTGGGAAGCCAATCAGGAGATAACAAAGTGCCCAACCAGCCAGTGCTCAGATCTTTTCTGGGCCACAACGAAGCCTCAGGATGTATTCAGCTTTAGCTGCGGCATTGAGGGTTGAGGTCTTCTGTAAGGAAACCCCTTTACAGATCTGTGATCCTTTCCGAATGGTCCAGCGAAGTCAAGTACCATACCCAACAGCCTTCGGCAAAAAGCCCGCGGCTACCGCTCTCGATTGTGCCTCTGTAGCAACTGTCACTGTAGCCCATCAACCTGATCCTATCCAAGATGCTGGTTTTAAGCTCTGAGGCTGTAAAATGCGGAGAGCATGCAAAAGCCATCCGTAGAGGACAACGATGGTAAAGATGCATGGTTCAAAATCCAGCGACACAGCTCAAATCCACGAACAAGAAACCCAACGATGAAAGCCGCCCTGCATCTCATCCACAGGAGCCACAGAAAACTGCGAGCTCTAGGCTGTCCACCATGAACCCTCCACTGCAATCCCTTCCCGGCCCCGTTGCTGTAGGCCAAACCTCGGCAGGGCAAGACAAACTTTAAGATGTAAACAAGCTGTGTCGGTACTGGGCTTCACGTGTGTATACATGGTTAGGACTTGTTTTGAAATTGCAAACCGTTGCTGCAAACCTTTTGCAGGATTCAAAGCTTACATAGGGCTGCATGGCAGTGGGTGCCGCTATCTGCATGGCATGGCAACGCATGCTATGCAAACACACACACACACACACACACACACACACACACACACACGCGCGCACACACACACAGACACACAGACACAGACACAGACACAGACACACACAACCTCTGCTGACAAAGCAATTAGGAGGCACTTTCGTCTGATGTCGTGGATGTCGCTTCCAAGAGTAATACGTGTTTACGTTGGCACACTGCCATTCGTGCACAGAAAGTACGGCCTGGGACAGAAACGCGACAAAACACGCAAATGCACATGTGAGGAAAATCGGTGCTGTGAAGCGAAGACAATACATAGTTCAACTTTGGTGTAGACAGAAGCACGACCATTTCTTTATGAGGATTATGACATAATGAGGATGGCATCGCTTCGAACGGTGTCTTCATTGTTTGCGGGGGGGAGGCGTATAGTCATGATGCATCGATGCTCAACAATTTGACGGGCCGCTTGGCGAGATGACGATGTTGATGACGCTGCTGCTGCCGCCGTGGCCGCACAGAAAAGCTGCTGGTAATTCTGCGATGACGATGCCGATGATCCGGCGACATTCCGAGTGTTGAGTGTGTTCTGATGACTGTAGTGACTACTTTGGCCGCCATTTGCGGCCCAATTTGCGGAGAAACTGAACGATTTCTACTTCCCTGGTGCAGAGGCCGCCGAGCAGCCCAGGAGAAACTGCGCAGAGGCAGAGCCCGCAGATGCAGCAGTGCGGTACAGGGCCACGGCTGCAGCGGGGTCCGGCGCGCGGTGTCTGGAAAGGCTTCGTGGCTCATGGTGCAAGATGAAGTGTGGTCTCGTCATGAACTCTTTAATAATGACGACTTCAGTTGTCGCAGATTCAGGTCGAGGGTGTGATTTCGACGTAGGCTCTGGTTTGGTCCAGAGCGATTCCGTGACAAAGTCGATTCTGCACGGAGTTTACAGCACGTGCTCTACGGTAGCATCATGCAGAGAATGCAAGCGAGCATGCAGCATGGATTGGCACTTAGACAAATCACTGAGCTGGTTCATTCATGCACAGGTACATACCACGCAGCCGCGTTTATGAGGAACCACGAGTCTGCACGAAAATCATGCAGGACAGGGATGGAACAAGAGCGAGAGATGGAGGGAGAGAGAGAGAGAGAGAGATCAGTCGATGCACCCGAAATCATGCGCAAGCCCAGATGTACCCCTGCGGACCTAGTCCTGCAGCTGGGGCCTCCGTGTCCTTTTAGGTATTCAAGGTCCATTATTCGACGGTCGTGCGATCTCTGAGGCTCGGGGCTATGGCTGCTTTTCCATGAATCGAAAACAAATTTGGAAGCCCAGCTATGCCTGTCCCCGTCGTGCAGCAACGCCCCAAGACGCAACTGAGCCTGAGCTGTGCAATCAGAGGGCTCCCTCGTATCTTGTAAACGAGGGCAGTTGCACCTGAAATCTGTAACGGGAACTCTTCACGGACCTGAGAGAAGTGCCTCAAAGCCCTAATTCACATACACCCTGAGCTCTTTAAACGTGAAAAGGCCCCATCTCATAACATAAATAGGAGTCCCAGAACCTTACATCCTTGAACCCCGACGACGGTGATACCTCGAACCTCACCCTAAGCCACGCGAACCTATCTTTTAGCAGTTTCCGAAGCAATTCTATTAAACTCTATAGTACGACTGACGTTGAGTCCCACCACCAGACACAACGAGTTCAAGCAAAGGAGAACCTTCAACCCTTCTCAGGAGGCTTCCCTGAACCCTCAACCCACAACTTCTAAACCCTGAACCCTACAAATTGTTAACAAAAACCGTTGAGCTCCTCTAACAACCCCACCAAAAAACCCTACAACAGCGACAAACCTCCACAAAAACGTCCAAGGCCGAGACGCGGGAACGTGACCCGACTCGGCTGCCTTCCGATACCAAAGCAGAGCCTGGCTCAAAAGGCAGCGTTCTGAGGCTTGGACTTCAGTGTTTTAGAGTTCCTGATTGGTTTCAACAAGCGTCCCCTGGTAGAGTGGGGGGGGGTCAGGATTTTACAGTTTGGTGGGTGGGGGGAGGCGGGGGGGAACGGTTGAATGGCTTTGGGGAATGCTTTGGGTTTCAACGCTCCCGCTCGGCCGCCCCCACAAGCGCCCGAACCATGCAGCCTGAAACCGAGCAACAGGCTGTTAAACCCTGACACACTATAGATTCCTTTGAATACAAAACTCTGAAAACCTGGTACGGCGTCTGCTTTTAAATACACGGATATTTAAATAGGTCAAACAGGTGTATTACACTACCTCCGTGAAACATCGCCCGGGCCCGCCTCGAAATAAAATATCAGGAAATTGGCAGATCATTGGTGGGTTTGGGGTTTAGGATTTTGGGGGTGTAGGGTTTAAGGGTTTAAGGTTCAGGTAGAAGCCAAACCTTTCAGCTTTAAGTTCAAGCCAAGCCAGCCCTCCAGCCTTCCTCAAGCCTTCCAGCCTTCCTCCAGCCCCAAGCCCCAGCCCTCCAGCTTTGCCGTCCAGCCCCAGTCCGCCTTCCAGCCTTCCTCCAGCCAGCACTCCAGCCCGCCAGCCTTCAACCCCTCCAGCCCTTGCAGTCTCCAGCCTTCCAGCCTTCAACCCCTCAAGCCTTCCAGCCTTCAACCCCTCCAGCCCTAAACCCCTTCCAGCCTTCAACCCCTTCCAGGCTTCAACCCTCCAGCATTCCAGCCTTCACCTTTTTAAGACTGAAGGCTAGATCACGAATCACGTCATACTGGGATTTAAGTGTACGGATTTGAACAAAAATTTTATACTACCTCTGCGGCCAGTGCGGCTGGCCGGGCCCCATATATTTAAAAAACGTCACCGTAACAATACCTTGGAAAGCCACATAGAAACACAAAACCCGAACCCACACTAACCCTAGGCTCCAGCTACTTGAATAGTAAGTTACTAAACATGAAAGTAGAGCCCAGTCACCCCTTACCTAACCTAAACCTAAGACCCAGACCCTAGACCCTAAAACTGGAGGCCTTGGGTAAGACATCCCATGCCAACTTGCCGGGGCCTCGCTGGAGGAATTCTCTGAGGCCTCCGAGCCTCGAGGCCGGGTTGTTCGAAGTTTAGTTTTAGGGTTGGGGTTTACCTATAGTCTCCATAGTATTTCAATTTTGGTTTAACCAAATATATAATGAGGATCCTATAAGGTATCCCCAAAAAGGAACTACAATGGAGGCTACAGGTACAGGGTGTAAGGTTGATAGGGTTTCTGAGGGCCCTTTTCCATCCGCCGAGGTTGGCGTTGAGAGGTTTAGAAATTGGAGTTCTTGTGATCAACATCCCGCAGTCGTCATAGTTTGCAACTGAGTCTCCGAGTCGCGCCAGCTGCGCGAGCTGAAACTGTGCCTGTCTGAAGGAGGACTACTATGTTGACTCGCTCCTGAAGTTGCGAATTTCATTCTGGAGAGTGTTGCTGGACTTGCATTCGGGAGTCAATGTACGGTTTGGGTTTTGGGCTCGTCACCGGCCTCGGGCTTAGAGTTGTCACGGGGTCTGGACTCTGTTGTTGAGGGACTAAATGATTTGAGGCACGAAGGTTTTAGGTCCTCATAGCCATATCAGCAATATCGAAACCCAGCAAAGCCAGGCCGCTTCAAGTTCAGCTGGTGCCACACAATTTCCGAACCCTTCATAACCTAGGAGTTGCGTTCAGTTCAACCAAGTTAACCATGCCACACTAGAGGCACCAACTTTTGTACTCCTGTTGCACCGTCTCCGGTGTACGTGGGTCCACTTATGCGCATGCATTCAGATCCGCATGTTGCACAAAACCTGTTCATTCATAGATTGCGCTTGCGTGCTGGGAAAACCAATCTCGTGATCATGAATGGAGGTGTCGGCTGAATCAAATCTCAATCTAACCTCCCATTATAGTCCACAGCGATAGGTCTACCATAGTTTGAGAAGACCCTCATATTGCGTACAAGTAGGAGTGGACATCGGCTAAAACTGTTGCGACTGTTTCTGGTTTGGCATACGACATAAGCCTCCACGTCACCGGCGTCGGCGGCGCGCAGCCTCCGAGCCATCTTTACACTGATGTCCAATATTTTCGCCAGACCTTACTTTCAAAATGGGGTCCAAAACTGTTAAACATGTGGTTTTGTCTGATTGGGTAATAGTTCTACAGGGAATAAACACGGGCAAAAGGCTCTGTATATCCTCAGACACCTATGTTGGTTGCCTGTTCACAATACATCTGTCTGCCGGGCTCTCCCAGCAATTCGTCTCTTAATCCCGACTTTGGGACATATCGTTTTGTCTTCTACCACAGGGTAGAGACATGTCGGTGTCAGGACCCTAAACCCTGAATCCATGTTGGTCGTAGACTCTGACAATACAGCTTCGGCGGCAAGCAGCTGGATGCAGCTGGATGTGTTTTCTTTATAGTGGTCATATGGCTATGCAAGCGGTTAGAGCCTACGGTTTTTGAGGTTCAAGGTGCCCGCCCAAATCTCTCGCTCTCATGGTCTGTTTTCCAGACGGCGGATGCAGGAGCCTGCCCCCAGCGTGCATGCATTTACCTGCGTATACACTATACACCCACATATACAGATAATATATAGGTATAAACAAACAAATAAATAACTATATATATATATATACATACATGTACAAACATGTATGCGCACGTGTATACACGAGTGTATGTATACTTATAAACATACACACTTGCCAAGCAGTCAGTCGAACACAAAGGCGGCCAAAACACATACACACCCACGGTTTTGAGCTTGCGCACATTCTGGAAACTCCCTTTTTTGAACCCGGGCTTGCTGGCTGCCAGGACTGACCCTCCGACCTGGACTGACCCACTGGAATCTCCCTGAACTCTAATCCCTACACATGTCAAACCTCCGCTCCTTGGATAACAAGTCGAAAAGAAGTCGGACAAACCAGTCTGCGAGGCCTAAGCCTCTAACATGCAAGCCCTAAACCTCAAGCAGAAAACTTAACCATACTCAACCTCTGTACCCAACATCCATGTGCCATTGAACCCCAAACCCCTGAACCCTGGGCCCAAAACCACGCGGCCCAAACCACGCCAGAGATGCCAGAGTCATTGTACTGCCTAAACCCCTGAACCCTAAACCCGACCTAGCACAAGAAATCCCTGACCCATAAAAGCCAGCCCATACATACCAGACATACATACCAGACATACATACATACAGACAGACTCACAAACATACATAGATATATATATATATATATACATATATATATATATATAACACTCATATGCGTGTGTAGCTAGTTTGGATCGTTACAAGGCAAACGCACAAACACTCCGCCTGGCCGCGTGTAGATCGGTGCCCCACGCAACGGGGAAGAGCTCCGGGCAGCCTCCTCTGCTATTCCACAGGGTCCAAATACCACAATAGTAGGTACTTAGTAGGTATTTGAGCCCCCAAAGCACAAACCATACCATTGCTTGGGCCTTTTGGATAATCTGAGTCGGGTGTAGGGCTTAGAAAAATCTGAAGACTTTCCCCAAGGGTCCAAGTACCTAATAATCATATACTCCCCAAAATCCTAACCTACGTGACTTAGGATTTGGGTTTAGGGTAAAGATTGTTTTTTTCTGTTGTTGAGCTCTTTTGTTTGGGGTTGGGGTGGCAGTTGAGGTTTGGGAGCGGTGATTTAATATTGGGTTTGAGGAGCGTAGGGTTTGAGATTCACAGCAGTTTAGGGTTCAAAACATGTTGCCCAAAGCACAGCAACGGGCTTCCTCAGCAGCAACAGACCGCATCCTCAACCCTATAAACGCTGAACCCTATCAACACTAACCAAGACACCCTACAACCCTGGAACGTAGCAGTCGTATAACCTAAGTCGAACGTGTGGTCACCCGTGTATATGTATGTGCATGCATTTGCGCATACTGGTTTTTGTACATACATATGCCTATAAACATGGACTCTCTTGCTGGTGTACTATGTATTTACTGGCTTTACACTTCCCCCTCCTAGGTCCCTTGCCTCGAACGTCTTAGGCCTCACAAGGGGCTGGATGATTTCGGCACCCTCGACAAGCCCAGCATCCCTCGGATTTGTGATGATTCAAGGAACCTTCCTGAGGTAACCGGGGGGCCTCTACTAAACCTCACCCCAAATCCAAAGCTGCCAGGGAGCTGTCGCAAAGCTTTGTCACGATGGGCTCGCCCTCCTCTATTGCTGTCGATATCGTCACAAGAACTTCCAGCCGGAGCCTGGTAGGTTCAGGACTTCTCACGCTTCTTGTGCTGCGACTCCCGGGCCGAATCCCTAAAGCCTCCCTTAACCCCAAGAGCCCAACACCCTACCGTAAGAATGTATATACCCTAAACCGGGATTCTTGCGCAGAGTCGAGCTAGGCCAGGCAATTAGACTATGTCCAGGAGGCAACCTCGAGTTGGGACGATCAGATGAAATTCGATATCTTCACAAAGGAATGCATACTTGTTTAAGGTCTCATTTTCTGAGGATTCTACGCAATCAGGATCCTTACTGCTTGCATCATAGGAGAGATGCATCAGTTCGACAACAGGCACAGCGCCCACTTAGGAGAACTGCAGGGGAAATGTGTCATGGACTCGATCTCACAGCCCTTGAAACTGGGCTTGCGGACTGGCCAGATCCTTGCATCACCTGGCTATACTCCTATAAACCCTAAACCCAAATCCCCTAAACCCCAAAACCCTGTCATTGCACGTGAGAATGCGCAAAGCCTGCTCGAGTCGGCAAGCGCTTGCGCCTTCGGGTTGCTGTTGGAGTTCAGGGCCTTTAGCGATTTTGAAGGACTACCCCCTATTCCCTCATAACCTACCTTCTTTGTAAAGACGAATCATACTAAGGAGCCCTGAGGAGGGAATGTAGTCGGGGTTTGGTAGGGGCTGGAGCGGCTAGGGCTCGGACATACAGGTTTCTGGGCGTTTATCGCTCTCTACGACTCTACATTGGGCACTGAAACCTGAACCCCGCTACACTGCTCTGCATACCAACTGCATAGGAATAGGAGCTTCACAAAACTATGGGAGCTACGATGCACCAGAAAATTTCCAGATTGTAAGACCGCTACAGTCATGGCCCCTGAACGAGAGACCCGTAACTTAAAGAGAGCCCCAGAGCCCTCTAACGAAACACGGTGCTTGTGCAAACTCCATAAAAAGTATACGAGCTTTTGAGAAAGCCAACAAAAAACCTACAAGAAACTATATGGCGTTGCCAAGGCCTGAAACAAAAAAGCATTGCGGCATCGGTCAACTCCATAGAAAAAACATGAAAGCCTGTCCAAATCCTGCAAAACACAACCAATAAAAATCCTATCAAACCTTTCCAAACCCGTCAGAACTCTATAGAGACCACACTTCATGAACAACACCACCACCAACAACAACAACATCAGCAACAGCAACAACACAAGGAAGCCTCGACTGGCTCCTGCGTGAGCGGACGTCCATCGACTCGAATCTGTAGCTCGGCCTACGTCTCATGTCGATCTTTCTGGCAGGGTTTTGTTATTGGGTATACGGCTTACCTGGGTCCTCGCGGGGCCTGGAATAACCCCATACTTCGGGACATGAACCGTTTTAGAGGCTGCATCTGTGAATCGATTGCATTTCGGACCCGAGCACCTGGAAGAGCCATCCTAAAGCATTTTCAGAGCTGTTGCTTGATGCTTTGGTACTCTCGGACCCTTTGTTTGCCGAACTGCGGCTTAGTGATGCAATCAGGTGGGTTTAAGGCTTAGGACCTGACAGAAGGCTTTTTGGGGAGGGGGAGGGGGGGGGGTGACTCCAAGCGAGGCCTGACTCTCATTTCTCTTATTTCGGAACTTTTGTTGGTAGGGTTTTGGGGTGGGGTGTCGGGCTTAGGAAGGCTTCGTTGGGTTTTAAGGGCATTTGCGAGGGTCGGTAATTAAGGCTTCTAGATTCTGAAAGGAACTTCGGGACTTTGTACAGCAGAGGCTGCCATGAAAACACGAATGCAAGGACAGTCAGATTTCTTGCGCAGCTGCTCTACTACATTATGCTGTATGCCAGTAGCAAAGCATACCAGAAGTATAGTATGCTGTCATCAGCATCGAGCCGCATTGGCGCGCCGAGTCGACGATTCGGCCGTGAACCGCCCCGGGAAGGCGACGGGAAGGATGGACACCTCCCGGGCGGCTTCACCACAATGCTGCTGTTTAGGGGTCTAGAGCTCATAGGGTGTATAGGGTTTCGGCGCTCACACTCGGACAAACCAGTATATACAGGGTTTAGGGTTTATGGGGTTTATAGAGTTTAGAGGGTCTTTAGGGTTTAGGATCATGGGTGACTGGGTCATAGACATAATGTAGACACACCAGGGCTCTGTATGACTGGAAGGCTACTATTTTGCGTGGTGCTATTGTGGAAATTTGGGCCAAGCGCGTGGACCAGTCTAGGCTTGTCGAGTTCTGCAAGGTGTAAGCATTTCACAGGACCCCTTCGAAGTTTAACGGCAAATTATGCCATGTTGATCAGATCATCGGTGCCAGCGGTGTGGGATGGAGCCTTCAAGACATGCAATGTGCTCACGTCCTGTATCCCTGAACTTGATTACTGCAAGCGTAAGCTTTCTAATCCCCTAAACTTCCTACACCCTTGTTAGAAAACTTGCCAAGCCCCTAAACCCTAAAAGCACTCTTTGCTAGACCTGGGCTATGCATATGACCCTAAAACTCTAGACCCTAAACCCTTTTGCCACTGGACTGAAGTCTAGCCAGTTTAAACCGTAAACCCTAAATCTTAAACCCTATAAACCCTAAACCCCGAAAACCCTATAAAGCCTGAAACCGGCGACCTCCCCGGCCAGGAGATCCCTCGCGCCGGGGCTTCCCTCCAGTGCTGTGGCAAAGGCGGTCGGAAGGACGAAGGCCGAGGAGACCAAGCGCTCCTTTCGGGGGCACTATTTTCTTATGGAGGTGCAAGGAAAGTTAGGGATTAGGGCTTGGTTAGGGTTTGGGGGAAGCTTGGGGTTTCGGAAACCTGTATGCAACTTGGGGAATCCGGATGAGGCGTCTCTGTGCGCATCTCAACAGAGTTTAGGTTTTGAGAGCAGTGAGAACAGTCCCTCAAGGGCTCTTTTTGATTGCTCCTTCAGGGTCTGAGGTTTACTTGGACACTTAGAACACCTGAAGGGCCTGAGTATCAACATGGTAGATTCTCTAGCCCTGCAAGCTTCCACTATGCTGGTAACTGAAACCGGTAGACATAGGTCAGACCAAGGATCTTATACGCTTGAAGGCTCCGGATGTGGGGCTTAGGGATTGGAACATAGTAGAAGGGCGTAGATTCAATGTCTGTGATGGTCACGGCAAGGGTCTGGTGGTGCAGCCCGGGACTTGTTCGAGATATGTATACAACGGTCTAGTCGTACGATGCATGTTGAGGGTGCGGATGGATCGTGTCTGCTATAACCCTATAAATGCCGATGCTCATCACGGGTTTCATCCCAATCTAGATTTACTTGGCCTCAGCAGTGCAACTATCAGTTACCCCAGACAGGATTGCAGATGCAGCAACTTGTTACTACTGCCACCACTTAACTCTTACAGCGGCTACGCGTCTTTGCTCCAGCCACGAGCAATGGCTGGCGTCATCAAAGTTGTAATGGGCTGGGCTGTGCTTGTATATGTACCCTAAGCCTTAAAAAGCTCTAAATCCCACACTCAAACAATACACACTAAAACCCTGAACCCGAAGCCCTCGAACCCTTAACCCCACTCTACGCTAAGCCTGAAACTGCCTAGGATCTGCAGAGTGTCCTTTGCTGGCAGACGTCGAGAGGCCACGAGTCCTTGAGTTTAGACTTGAGTCAACAGCCTTGATATTTACAACAGGGCTTGTTTACAGGGTTCCCTTAAACAGCTACTGCAAGGGTTCAAAAGTTTAACATAGGCGCCGTCGTCCTTTCAATAGGATTGTGGTAAAGCTATAACAAGAGAACTTAAGGAATAACATGTGGAAATGCTCAGACAAGCATCTATACTGAGTCACCAAAGGCCTAGGGATAACCAGAATCACTACCTGGACCGCCAGCAACCATGAAAGTTGCAGTAACAATCGACCCACAGCACAGGTGCTGCTGCTGTTGCTACGATGCCGACCCGGAAACTCTCCGCCAAGATGCCGAGCTAAACATGTAGGTAATACCTCACAACATGTACAGCCGGCAACTAGTTCTCTACCATCCCCTCAAGGCCACCCAATTCCTAGACCCTAACGAAAAATGTGTTAAACAATTATGTTGCTAACCCAAAGTCGTCTCCTGAAGAGTTCGGGTCGGCCGTCACGTGGCTGACGCATGTGCCTCTCCATGGGCCAGCAGCTGTCAGAACATTCCAGGAGCGAGCAGTTATCCAAACGGTCCTTCTTCTCCGCCTAGCCACTACTACATTTCAATTTCAAGATCAGAAATTATTGTGGGAGACAAGATCTACTACTCTCGTAGCCCACCACCGCGGCCACCAGCAACTAACAACACCACCACCATCAGTATCCAGAATATCAGCAACTTCGAAGTGTTCATCAACGGCTACTAGTTAGAAGTACTGGTACGCATCACTGCCACACACACACACACACATCGTGTTGCAATGGTGATGCAGCACCTGCTGTAGCTGCATATCACCGGAGTCGTGCAAACAAACCCGAGTCCTCAGTCCTGTACCTAACCCAAGACTCTGTCCTCCAATGCCCGCGCAGGCAAAGCTCAGCTACAATGCTAGCAGAATAGACCCCCAAAGCCAAACATGCCAACTCTGATCATTGAGCCTTAACCCTATACCCTCGTCCCTAAGCTCCCCTTTTCAGCATGAGCTTGGATTGTGTGCTTAAGCCCTAAACCCTTAAGGCCTGCTGCTGGTCATCCCGTAACTTCCCTTGACGCCTCCTTCTTCGCCTGAGCCTTCGCGAACCTCCTCCGAGGCGGAGAGTCCCCGGTCGGAGAACCACCTGGCGCCCGGCCCTACTTTTGAGGTTTGGGGCTTGGGGCATATAAGGTTTAGGTATAAGATTTCGGGTTTAAGCATTTTAGGTTCTAGGGCTTGAAATTTAGGCATAAGATTTCGGGGTTTGACACTCACACTCGGACGAAGATTTAGGGTTTAAGATTTCGGGTTTGAGATTTTGGAGTTTAAGGTTTAGGGTTTGATCGCTCCTGATCCCATGAAACCGTCGTTTCAAGGGCTGTAGCTGTAGCTATTGGGGTTGCGTGGGTCGCAACCTACTATGTTGTAGGCAGGTAGAGCCAGAGTATGTTCAGGTCCTTGATGTAGTGTCTGAGCTTCGAACGAATCCAAGCCCTAAACGCCTAAATCCATTTTTCAGGAAGGGTTGCAGCATGCATGCCCTCAAGATGTCGGATGCGAACCGCCTTTCGAGTTCTAAACCCTGGACGCTGTCCTAAAAGCCTTCTGAATCTGGGTTGGCTGATCCATTTTTTGCTGTTTTGCTTTTCGTTTTTCCCTTTTTGCCACTGGACGAACACTAAACATAAAAGTGGCAGCGAGACTCTTCCGTCCCATAGGAGATAAAGAGCTCCTCTCCTGAAGTAACTTGGGAGCTGTTGGTTGGGGTTTAGGGTTCGGGCTCTCGCGATTCGGACAAGATTGAGGGCTTATACGGTTCAAACTTACGGCCTATAGAGAGTTATGCTTTAGGGCTTCTTCTAAAGTGTTTGGGGAGGTGTTGAAGGGGTTAGGTCGCAGGTACTCGAGGCCTGAACCAGTAGAATAGGGTTCCACTACAGGCTTCTTTATGGGTTGCTAAAATTTCTATAATGTAGTATAGCATGGCCTTCATCAGTAGAATTGGGTTCTGGGTGGGGTTATGCTATACTCATGACTTAAGCAGCCTGAGGAGTACAACGGGTAATTATTCAGAACCCTATACAAGGGTTCTGCACCCATCCTGTTGGGCATGTCGGTTTGAAGTTGGCTTGGCTGCGAGCCCCGGACGGGGTGCGCAGAAGTATTCAGTTAGGTCCTTGGATTGGGTTTAGTGTCTAGGGTTTTGGGTTCCAAGGCTTCGACCCTATGGGAATGTAAGCTTGAGCCAACTTTGGCTTCAGCTTCAGATTCTCAGATGCGGGACGGAGAAGAATGGCCTAAGACGGTTCCTGTGAGACCCCCTTCCCTCCAGAAGTAATCCCCGGTCCCGGGCTGCTAGCATCCTTCCCATCTCAAGCATAGCGATAATGGCTGGCATCTGCACGAAGCTCGTTACCGAGTGCTTGCACAGGGAGCACCACTGCGTGGGAGCCACATCAAAGGGCACCACTCACGCCAACACACTATTGCAGCAACAATCACATTAGGTCTGACAGTCTCATCCCCGGAAACCGAAACACCCAAAGACAATCTCACACCTTCACCATGGAGCACAACACGACCGGATTGATGCCAGATTGATACGTAATTACTTGGAGACCGAAGCCCAGACCCAACAAAAGGCCACAAGCACCACCCCACAGAGGAGAGGGGGGAGACAAAGAAGCAAAGCCCACAAATAGCCATACCATAGCCTACCTGCGCAACCGGTGCAGGCTCCGACACGGAACAAGAAGCCAATCCTGCCGCCCGCATGCCTGCTTGTATGCGGCGCCGTGTGCGCAACTCCGCTGTGCTCCCCTCCTTGCAGAAACGTTGTTGCAACTTCGGATCTGTTGACGTTCGTTCAAACATTCCGAGGAAAAACAGTTCTGCAGTCGTGGGCGGCCTCTACAAAAGCATGCAAGCACACAGCATGTGCATTTTTGGAGCCCAAAACATGCTGAAAAGACAGGGTACTGTGCGCGCCTTGAAGCTAGTTTGATTGTTGTTTCTGCTGGCAGACTCTTATGCCGCGGAACCTCGCAACATGTGCCAAGCATGACAACGTTAGACGAGCTGCAACTCTGGATAAGACAGATGCATTCGCGAACTCACTTACTTCCATAAAGCAGAAGCTTGAAGCTAATATAGGGGCGGCTATGAGTAGAATAGGGTTAAGGGGCCCATTATACTTTCATTATAACCAGGGTATAGGTTATTATCAAGGACCCTTTACTATGTTCACACATTCTCTTGTCATGCCGCTGCCTCCATGACGTGAAGATCGCAGTTCACCTGGGGGGGCTGCTCCAGAACACTAGTACTGGTCGGGATGCGAGATCATACCTTCGGGATATGGGAACCTTCGGAATGTTGTGGGGGCTTCAAATAATTAAGGGACCTCAGATAACTAAGGGACCTTCATATAGGACCCGAGCGGGAGGTCTCTAGACTGACACAGGTGAGGCCAGCTTCTGTCAACCCGTAGGCTGCAGGCTCAAGCTCTGATGCCTTGAATAGGAATCAGAAGGTCAGTAGCGTCAAACTTCTACCTGAGCAGATGCTGCTGGGCCCCCCTCCCCCCTCTCAACCCTCAACGACTGTGAAAGAGCACCTGATCATGAGGAACTCGACACCCTCGCCTGATCTCCGGCACCATGATTGGCCAAGGAGGCCGGACCCACCATGAGCCGACTCATGGCCTGGTTTCGACTTCCCTCCCTGTTAGGTTTCGGCGCTCACACTCGGACAAGGGTTCAGGGTTTCGGAACAGTTTTTCAAAAGGTTCATATCTCGGTCAGTCTTCCTTCTTCACCTCTCGATGCCTGACTCCGGTACACTTGCACCTCTCTACGGACAGAAGTGACAGAAGTACGAGGCTAGGGGCCGAGGATTGACGCCTCGTCGCTTGGAGTTGCGTGCTCGAAACGCGAGCTTGGGATTTACAGCTGCATGGTTGGAGAGATCTCCGATGTGGGGGCTGTTGATCTGGCTGGCGCCCCGTACTGTCTGAAACTCCAGCATCCCAGGAGGAGGGCAGATTTTTGCAGGCCCTGCAGCAGAGAATGGTTCATGAGGCTTCCAGAGCTGAGGACCGGGCTCGTTCAAGCCAGGGCCACCAGACCCTAAAGATCCGATCCCTGCCCGCGGCCCCAAAAAGCACAAAAGCCCTAGAACCCAAAGCCAGAAATCAACCGAAACTACCCACCTCAAGTCCGAAGCAGCCTTAACAACATAAGCAAAAGCTGTTGCCACAATGGTCCTACAAAAATTGGACCCGGGGTTCTGCCTCCCCTCTCTTCTCGGAGGATGGACCGGCGAAAACATAGGTCGCCAGCCTTGTCGGGGTCGTTGAGCTTAGGGGCTCGGAAAATGTGCGGCTTGAGACTGTAAGGTTTTGGGCTTCAGGGCGAGTTTTCTGACTTTCCAGTATGGTTGGGGCTCAGCGCCCCAAGCAAATCCCTAAAGTTTACCCTAAAGACCCCAAACATCGAAACCTCATCCAATCAATGAAAACTTCGTTCGTGACCGGGAGCTGCGTCAGCTCTGCGATACGGCTGGGCAGAACGGCGACGCGGGAGGCGGCAACAGCAGCGCCTGGGATTGATACGCTGTGTGTGAGACTCCTTCTTCGGTTTGGTTGCCATTGGTCTCTGAAATCCGTCACGGGTTGTTCTTCCTGTTTCTAAGTACTGCTATCGCCGGGCTCGTCTTGCGTTGGATCACTCTGAGCTGCGGTTTCATGACGGGCTGCGAACCCTTAAACCCTGTACCCTGACCACTAAATTCAAAAGTCTTTAGCCTGATGCTGAAACTTCTGCAACGACGCGATGTAAGCTCGAGCGAAGTAGCGAACAGCAAGAACTTCCCCATGCTATGAGCCTGCTCTCGGACTAAGGCTTTAGGGCTAACTTGCCTAGGCTGTCCTACGCCCGAAACCCTGAAAACCAAGCACAAACCCTTACCTCCCGATCCTCGAACCCTTGGCATCCGAAAGTCTGAAAGCCCTAAGACCCTGATCCCCAAAACCCTACACTCTACACCCTCATAGATCCCTTTATAGAAAGCTTTGAGCCCCTTATATAGACTGATTCTGAGAGCCCTTACAGAAGAACCTTGGGGAACCCGCAAACCCTCGACCCAAAGATCTTGACGAACTGTTCTTTGCCGAGCCTGCTGGCAAGTCGATGCCTGCGAAGATGCCGCGGCCTTTCAATCGAAAGTGCAGGCGGACAGAGACTCAAAGGTAACCCAAACATGGAAAACCCTAAACCCTAAACCCTCAGAGACTCCACAAAAACCCTGAAGGCATGACCGTTGCCTGCAGATGGCAGGGTGGAAGGCGCCATCCACAGTGTGCAGTTACGACTCCTGAAGCTTGGACATATAGGGCCCTAAACCCTAGACCCTGAAGCTTGTCAATGAAGATAGGGACTTATAGGGGCCTTGATCGTTAGAATGGTTTTTGGGGGGTTTTCTACTATAAGTATGTACGGAATATGAGGGATCTCATCTTTACGGTTTAGGTATGGTTTGATCGACTTCTATGGGTCCTACTGTGGTTCTATACGTGTTCTATAAGAGTGCCAGTGCTGAAAGTGAAAAGAGGCAGAAAACCGCTCAGGACCAAGACGTTAAGGATCTGCATAGTGATGGGTCAGAACAAGTCTATGCATTTGGGCTGGCATAGACCCTCTCGGAGAAGCCATTGAGTGGTCAATGCAGACATCACCAATCACATTCAATCACCCGCAGACCAAACAAAGTGACGAAGCCTGCGCAGATTGTGCTCCATGCTAAACCGAAAGCAGTTTAGGGCTGAGAGACCACATACCTCTCTACAAAGACATGTTTTGGCCCCAAATTCCCTTCGACCCGTTGGGAACTCAACCTCCCCAAAGCAACTCACGAGCCTATCCGAGATGCAGAGAGGACAGAATGCCCACACGTAGTATGGAGGCGTGAATACTTGGGCTGGCGATGTCTATGAGTTTGTAGAAGCGGTCTGTAGGGCTATGCTGTGTACAACATATGGGTCTTGAGAACTTCCAATGTATATTCGAAGCTGGTTCTACAATAACTGTAATCCGATATAGCGGCTACGACTACAAACCATTCATGCCAACGCATTGAATTTCTGATTCTTTGGAAGCCCACGTGGCAAGGTTCAACTTCGACAGATTTGTGCAGTGTGCTCTGCTAGTTTGCAATGCTGCAAGATATGTCAATAAAGACATGCTATGCCAGGCTGCCAGAATTTGATTATCGTATGCTTGCTTACAACCCTGCAAACGGTTAGTTTGCCCTTCCATGAGATCATTGAGTCTCGGTTGATGTCTGCGAGTGTTAGTCAGTATTCCCATCTGAAGTAGGGATCGGTTGACGAGCTTGAGGTTTCGAACTTCTGGTCCGGTGTCTATGGAACCCTGCATCAGCCCCAAACGCCGTAGTTGAACCGAAACCCTCAGTATCTTCTAATGTGGTGCATGTACCTTTCATTGCCAAGCCACGCCAGCAGCGCAGCGGGAAGATGGCCAGAAGGCGCCATGGGGCTTGGAGGATCCCTAAACCCAGAGATTCGGCTTTGGGTTTGAAAACAGCAACAGCCTCGAGCTAAGGCTTCTTGGGTTGAAGCCCCCGCACCCAACCCGAGAGTTCAGGCATTCGGCTTGGGCCGCAAACCCCAGAGTTTTGTGTGTTTGGTCTCCTTGGCTTCCTAAACAGGCCAAGCTTGCAGGTGTAGCAGTGTCTCACGTAATTACGGGACAAGGTGCGTTTTACCATGGCTTGTGCGATCATGCGGGGTTTGCGATGATCCACTGTCGCAGTCGCACTTGTACTCTCGCGAGCCGACAAGACTTCTGGTACCGAAGCATAAACCCTAAACCTAAACCCTAAACCCTAAACTCTAAACTCTCAAACCTGACGCAAAACCACAGAGGTCATGCCTTGCCAGAGCCGCAAGAGTTCAGTTCAGGGCCCGCCGTATACCGAGCCTCAAAGCCATCTCTGAAACACTGATTCATCTAGGGTGTGGCTGGTGGCCTCATACTTCTATCTCTAATCCTGGGAGATATCTCTGAAAATTACACCCATGAAACTTGATATAACCCAAACGAACCATAAGGGCTATCCGTCCATCCATCCATCCCTCCATCCATCCATCCAGGTAAAACTGACAAGAACTGTACAAAGGCAAAGTCACAAAAGCAGTCATGGCCTGAACAAATTGGCAGTCCCTCAAGCCTGCAAGCCTTTTAAGGGCCTAGGCTCCATTCGGCTCAAAAAAAATGTGCAAAGGTCACAAGTACTCAGCCCAAAACCTTCCGATTGCTGCCGGGGGTGTTGGCTTCTCTGACACCACGGGTGTTGAACATGGAACATGGGAGTTTCCGAAAATAGGGGATCCTAATATAGTACCTTTATCTAAACAGTAGGATCCTTACTATAAGGGCCCCAAGATAAGGTACCCCCAATTTTTGGAAACTCCCGCATGGCAAAGCTACAACCACTGAACAAGTTCCAGCGACTCACATGTAACGATACGCGCATTCCTGTGCCAACGAGTTTCCTTTTGCAGTCTCCAAATCTCTACGGCTCACAATGGGGCTAGAACAATTACACTAGGATTTTGGGGCTTATAGCGTAAGTATTTGCAGGAACCCTAATTATAAGGAGCAGCATTGGTAGTATTTTTTCGCCCCTATGTTCACCCCGGCTTTTGCTACCAAAGCACACTTCCAAGATATCGAGTTCAGGATTCATTTTCGGAAAAGCCGGCAGTTTCTTTCAGTCTTGCAGTATCATGACGTACCCAGTGGAGGATTGAAGTGGGTTCCTAAAGCAGTGAACAACCTCAGCCCTAGTATGCACACCCCTCACCACCCCAAAGCTGAAGCTTCAAGCCCCCAAAAGAGCCCCAACATCTAGAACCCCACGGCGTCCAGTCTGGGCTGCTGTCCACAAGACACCAGTGCAGGTGCGTCTACGCCTTCGGCCTTTCCAGGGGTGACTTTGAGGACACCTAGGTTTTGGTTGAGAGTTGACGGCTTCATATAGCGCCTGGGAAGGGCCAGGGTCTCGGATTTACATCTCCTCGAACAGACCTATCACGCCATCCCGCCTCGCTTCTCTTCTCAACTAAGTTTGCTGTTGGCAGCCAGCATGCGAGCATCGAGCCGACCAACCAAGTTCAAAACCCTAAATTCCAAGTCTTCAAGCGGAGGTACGGGGTCCTAAATCGTAAATCAAGGAACGCATTATTGATTTCTGGAAAGCTTCGGGTGGGAATGAAAGTATGGTTCCTCTTGCATTTGACTCGACACCTCTTGCGACTGAGGGGTTGGGATACTTACCCTCTGGTCCTTGTATAGGCAGCATACACCGAACGCGCTTCTGATGAACTAAGCCCTACATTCATCCTTCAATGGGGAAAATTTAGGACCCCGAATTCTCCACCAAAACCCAAACCGAAACCCCACAAACGAACGCCAAGCCCCCACACATGAACCATCCCAAGAACTCGGTGTTCTGCATCCCTCACACTATGTTTCAAACAAAAGCGAAAAACCGCAAACTGCAGACCAAACCCTAAACCCTTTCAAATACGAACCCTAAGACCAATTGAGCCCCGGTGTTGGACAGGTGCAATGACATGGCAGGCGAGCATGTTGCCGCGTTACGTTCTCGCAGTGGAGAGCAGGTGACGGGTTGAGTGGATGTAACCAGGTCGTGAGCACATGAAGTAGCGTTAAATTAATCATCTTGCAACATCCGGAGCTTCAGCCACTTGCCGCTGGTCTCAACTCCCGAAGTTAAGCTATCTCAACCTTTCCAAACCTGAAGCCAGACATGAGAGAACACAGTTCACCAATCTCAAAACCAAATCGTTACCCCCTCAGCCCTGAATCTACCGAATTGGGTTCGGGGGCAGACTGTAAACCATAAAGACACGCAAACCATACCGGGAGCATAGTTGTTGCTAACTTTCCGAGCCTCATATTTGCCTTGAGATAACCGTCGTCACCGAAATTTCGTAGTTGTTACCTTCTTCATACTAGTAATGGTAGTGGCCCTATGCTGTCGTCATCATTCTCAGCGCTGAGAAGCCTTAAAAGTAAATAGAACGAACAAACAGTCTTTAATCTAATACGCCTTACGAACCCGGTAGCCCTGTACCCCTAAATACTAAAGGCCTAAACCCGCTGGAGCCTTAAAAAAGTGCCGCAAGCGATGCTCGTAGTCCTCTGCAGCCTCCTCGATAGCAAGACCGCAGCACATGGCGCACGTCTTTAGATCTCAGGCTTGTGTTCGGTTTTAGGGCAGACTGAACAGGTTTTAGGGCTAAGGGTTGGTAAAGGCTTGAAGGCTGTGCCACTTGGGGGTTTCCGAAAATATGGGTACCTTACTTCGGGGTCCTTATAATAAGGATCCTACTATTTACGGTACTATATTAGGGTCCCCTATTTTCGGAAACTCCCACTTCAGATGCTACATTCTCGGTTTCCAGGCTCCAGCCCCTCGACTTCTTGCCAACCCCGACTGTTTGTCGCTGGAGGGTTCCACACAGCTTAGGATATCTGCGGGTGTAGAGTACTTCGTTGGGGGATGGGAATTTTAAGGTATACAAAACCAGGGGCATGTAGGAAACGTTTATCACGAGTTACTCAGAAATCAGTTCTCATCCCTATTGAAATCTTACAGCAACTTCAAGACACCCAAGACCAACCATGAAACCCTTCTAGCCCCATAGGCTACATCCTAAACGCCACCTAGCCTAAAACCTCTACACTCTACCCTGAACTCTATACCCCCACACCCTAAACCTTACTTTCCTTAACCGAGTCCCTGAACTCCAAAACCAACCCTAAAACTCCGGTTGCCTAAAAAATAGTACGCTACCTTACTATACCCATATGGGAGTTTCCGAAAATTAGGGGTACCGTGTTTTGGGGTCCTCCTAATAAGGATCCTACTCTTTAGGGTACTATATTAGGGGTCCCCTATTTTCGGAAACTCCCATATAATACACCGGAATAGCGAAGAGCAGAATGGAATAGAATAATTCTGAGAAGACTAGAATGGAATAGAATACAACACGATAGAATAGTATCGAATAGAACCGAATAAACTATAACATGAGAAAACACGGTTTAAGAACAAACATAGTATTAGTATATGACATAACATATCATAATCGAATCCAACATAGTAGATGTTTATAACATCGTGTCATATAGTAGGTTATGGCAAAGCAGTATAGTGTAACTTAGAATGTAATATAATATGACACAGTATCATGTAATGTAATGTAACATACTATAACATAATACAGTGAAATGTACGATATAACAAGGTGGACTATGTTATAACATGATATAGTCTACTGTACAATACAAAAAATGAAACCTATACATGCAGTGCAGTAAAACACAAACTCTCTCTCTCTCTCTCTCTCTTTCTTTTTCTTTCTGCCGGGCATAAGGGTCGCGGAGCGACCCACAGGCCTAAGCCCTCTCTCTCTCTCGCTCTCTCTCTCTCTCTCCGTATCCACATACATACATATATATATATATATATATGTACACCTATATACAACGCATTTTGGTAACTGGAGCCCTCAGGCCAAGGCCTCCCAGGGTTTGCTGAGGTCAGGAGCCAGCAGCTGCTCCTCCTGACACGCCAATATAGGGGCCTTAATAAGTAGAATAGGGGTTTTGGGGAGTATCGGGGGCCTTAATAAGTAGAATAGGGGGCCTTAATAAGTAGAATAGGGTGCCTTAATAAGTAGAATAGGGGTTTTGGGGCAGGCTAGACCATAACTATGATAAGGAACCCCCCCCACCCCCCCCCCCCACCCCCCCCGAAATAGTGTAGGTAATGTTTAAGGCCTGTTCGAGGGTCCTGGCTTGAGGTTTAAGGGTTCAGGAGTGAGTTGATGACTTTTTGTCTTTAGGGCTTTAGGGTGTGATGGTTTAGGGAGCAATCGCATGGGATAAATGAATCCTATAGATGCGCCGTTTTACAAACGGGCATTGGTGATTGATATCTCTGTGTGGGACTTCTGTTCTCATTGTCGCCTGCTGCTACCACTACCGTTGTTGCTGCGTTTACGCTTGCCGTTGTCATTGTTTTTGTCGCTCTGGTCGGGCTCGTGGTCGTGGTCGCTGGTCGCCGGTCGCTCGTCGTGGTCGTGGCCTCGGCCGGGGTGGTGGTCATGATTGTTGCTCTTGTCGCTGCTGCTGCTGCTGCTGCTGTCGCTGCCGGTGCTGGTGTCATTGTCGCTGTTGCTGCCGCTGATGCCGCAGCTGCGGGGGCAAGCTGGGCTCTTGCTCAGCTGCTGCAACTCAACGGCGAACCGTGGCCCCGGATCCCAAGCACAGACACCTCAAGCACTCCTCGTATTTGGTTCAGGGGTCGGTGCTTGATGTAGAGGTCTGCACGGTGAGTCCTAACATCCCCTTGTAATCCCAGTTAGCATACACCGGAACCCTATTCCGTATGATTCAGGCCCCCATATAGAAAGCAGCAAAATCCTATGAACCCTGCAGTGACCCTGTTCTAAACCGGAAATACGCTTGATGATATACATCCTGCATTACCTTAATGACCCCAAGCTATGGGAATTATGGTATATTCCTTACTATGGGTCATGCAGGATTTATACCATCAACCGTATGAAGGCCTTTCTTTCTCAGCTCCCAGCCTCGCTGAATTTTTCTTCGCGCACGCCACAGACAGCCGCAGATGCAGAGTCAGAGACACCGGGGGAAGCAGCTTAGAGTCTCGAATCAGGGTTATTTCAGGGGCGATTCCTAGAAGACCCCTCAGCCTGGAAAGTTCACTGGCAAATGTGACAGAAAGTAGGCTTTTGGGTTCTGGGTATGCCGATGAAACTGGGCTTAGGAAACAGGACCCTCTTTTATATGGTCCATATATAGGTAACTGGACTTTTCTCAGGCACTATCCAGTCGCAAGTGCTTTGAGGTCTAATGTCGACATGTTTGCTTTGCAAGCTCAAAAACATTAGGATTCGGTTCTATGGCTAGACCCAAGAGTGACCTAGGAATAGAAAGGGTGCCCTTTTTGAGTTAAAAAGGGCTAAAAAGGGAACCTGCCCGGAAGGGGGATGGCCACAGCAGTACTGTTTCCACGAGCGAACGACCGACGGAAAAGCATCTTAACAGCTTGCTGTACAAGTTCCTATACACTTCTGTCTTTTGTCGAGAAGGTGCTTTACCCCCCAATAAGCAGAGCAACATGTTTCTTCTTCTATACAACTACTTTCTACTCTATCTTCTTCTTCTTGCATCCAGAGCCTGAGCATCGGCTTACCTGATCTCCGCTCCCCCTGCTGGCATGGCCGTTGCCGTGCCTGCAAACTCCACGTGGCTCATCAATACCGCCGGTGCTGATGCAGGAAGTCATCCTGTCCAGGTCCTGCTGCCGAGAGCCTGCTTCCCCAGACCGACCGCTGCTGATCGATGTCCCGTAAAGGAACCCTAACCGGCACTTGCCAATCTTCCGTGATTGCAGGAGCAACCATACGATCGGGATGAAGGCCAACGACACCCGCCCTTGGGCCTTGGGTCCCAAAAAACTGAGGATTATTAGCCCTAATCGCCTGTTGTCTAGCCTCTTCGAAACTCAACACTCGCACGTGTGGGGCAGGGCGGTCGTCCGAAGGACTTACAGGGATTTCAACAGCATCGTCCAAATACCTGATCACTCGAGTGGGCACCTGCTGAGATGCCGGTTCAAGTTCCGGCTCAGTGGTTTGAACTGGTAGTCCTCGACGCCTAGCTCTCAAACGACTCTCTCTCTCCTCTCTGAGCTCTGTCTGCATCTGCAGTGCTTCTACATGGTCCTCAGGTAAAGGCTCTTGTAAATCCGGCCTTCGCAGCCGAGCTAGAACCGCCGAAAGAGTCCTAATCCCAAACTTCAGTCCTTCCCAACAGCACACGACCGTAACTACGACCCCTATCCAGAACATCCATTCGATTCCGTCATCATCAACCTCAGTGGACCGGTGTCCTTCAGCTTGGCAAACCATACATGCCAAAAGCACAACCTGCAAACACTTCAACGTGGCCTTCGACAGACCCTGGCTCTCCTTCGGGTTGTGGACTGAAGTGTTTCCTATCTCTTGAACTCCGATCAGACTGCACAGATACTTTACGCGTTGAGCTCCCAAAGGCTTGGTACCTAAATCAGCTCCGTTCTGCAACCCCTCAATGTGGCTAATCATGTAAAACCCCATTTCCCACCGCTCGCGCATCGTGCGAGCTTTGATTCTCAACGACCTCGTTCTCCAATGGGAGTTTTGCCCTACGAAGACAGATACGGCTGCTTGATTATCATTGTAGATGTGGACGCGCGGCGCTTTCTGGGCCAATTCCGCCAAGAGGTAGACATGAGCCTGTGCAAAGCAACATCCTGTAGCCGTTGCTAAGAGCTCAGTCTCACATGAGCTTTGAGTCATATAAGCCTGGCGCGTGACATGCCAACCAACAAGGCAGTTTTCAACGAACAACAAGCAGCATTCATTAGAGCGTGACGCATCCGGTGCAAATGAACTGTCCGTGAGCACTTCCAGCAGGTTGTTACATCCAACCTCCTTTCGTCCCGGTCTTGGGCCGCTCGGATCAGAACACAAGTACACCAATCCAACATTCGCAGAATCAACCAGGTAAGCAAGCACATGCAACCCCAGTTGGTAAGTTCTGGACGGGTCACGATTCATCCACTGCGCAAGTTTGGATATCGAAAACGACACATCTGGACGCGTACGCACACTGACCCACAGGATTTCGCCAATCAAACGCTGACACTTACGAAGTACACTGCTGTCAATGTTCTCCACTGCTTCCGGCTCCATTACCCCTGGTCCCAACGGGGTCCCGCAATGCTTAACCTTCTGAAGCTCATGGGAGTACCGATCCGCAAGGTCTTTAATGTACGACTCCTGCCAGATAAGCAAATTGCGCTCAGACGACCAAGCCAACTGCAACCCAAGAAATCGCAACGGCTTACACAAATCGGCGGTCAACCATTCTGGGTCTCCACATTTCCACATAGTGGTAATAGTCTTCAGCAACAACTTAACCAATTCACAGCACGCAGCGATAATAAGGTCGTCTATGTACACTCCAATCCAACCCCAAACCGAAACTCCAGACTCCTCATGCTGATCAAGCCCTAGACCCGATCTGCTCCAGCATCTTTCCGGTTCGCTCTCGGCGATAAGCCAGAGATTGGGGTCCGCAAACGATTGAAACAATCTGAGCTCCTGATCTTTATACTTCACGACTACCCGCCTCAGCGAGAAATCTCGACTCAGGCTCCAGTCTCTAGGACTAGTGTCAAGTCCGTAAATCGCCTTGGCCACCTGCCAAAGGGTGTTTTTGCCGACTAAGCCCCGCTGCACCAAACAACGCGGAGGGATTAAGATCACGATTTCATCGATTGGTACGCTCTCTCCCTGCGCAGCCGCCGCAGCGGCTTGCTCCGCCTTGGCCCTCGCCCTCGGTAAAAGCTCCGCATTAAGAAATGCGGTCCTAATGTCAGTGATGGCTATCTCATAGGAACGTCTCGCAGCTACTGCCAAGGCACATCGAAGGTGTGTGACATCAAGGGAAGAGGCAAACACAGCATCCTTGTGATCCTGCCGACTTTCATCCTTCGAGGGTGCCATGTTTCCACACGCCACTATTCGACATTTATGCCGACCATCCGGAGCCTTAATTGTCCACACAGCCTTAGCAGGGATGGTGATTACTCGTTTTCCAGAGTCTTTCCACCGCTGCACTTGTTTCCAATCAACTGGAATCAAGGCGCGCTTCTCATCCACCAAGGCCGAAATCTCCTTGTTTGCAGGATGCTCCCAAACTTCCCAGTTCGCCAGGACCTCCGGCAGAGATACAGTTCGGGTCTGCAGCACCGTGTCTGTACCATCATCCTCAGACGCACGCGTGGACACCTCAACCGCAGTTAGAGCTTTCAGTTCCTCGCGAAGCTCGTGGACTCTATCCCATGCCCCTTGGACCTCAGCCAAGTCCGTATCGCCTAAAGTAGCAACGGCCTCACTCCCACCTGCATGCTCAAGCCAACGCGCCAAACGGTCCTCAGCGAACCCGCTCAACCTCAACTGAGCACGATCAAGCTCCTCAATGTGAGCCGTCAGCTCTGACAAGTCCCATGGAGCTTGCTCAACTTCACCTTCAGACGCGGTATGCCAACTACACACGCTAGCAGCATCATCCTCTTGATCCTGACGGTCAGCTGCATCAAAAGTTTCACCACTCAGCAACCAAGCGCAAGGACCATCAACATGACTCCCAGTGCCATCCACTTGAGCAGAAGTTTGGTCACCAAGACAACTCAAGGTAGCCTCATCCATGGGGCACGACGCTTCAACCAAGTTATCATCCAAGGTCAAGCCAAGATCCACCGCACCCTTATCACGCACAGCCAAACTCATGTCCGAGACCGCCTGAACGCTATCAACCAAGCTCACGTCGACATCACAACCAAGCTTCACGCAACTCAACACAACCTCAACTTCACCTGGCACAAGCTCCACTCGTGCCTCCGCTTCCTTTTTATAGGTTATACAATTTTTATTTGGGTTTTCAAAGTCTTTTTCTACCGCGCTCTCCACAGAAGTGTTTATTTGAGTTGGAGTGGAGGGACACGGCTCATCAGCAACACTAGCTATACATGCATGCTCATGCAAGCTCGCAAAATTTCTAGGGTACCCCGTCACGGTGGCTCCCCCTTTTGTCTGCCCTTCAGGCAGACAAAGCCGCAACTTACGAAGAGTCTGCTCCTGCTCATCGCTCATGTTGGACCAACAACCAACGGTATATGCAATCAACACGACACGGCGATCAGGAGGCTGCCAGGCTTCAGTGGCGTGTAAAACCCCAGGCTTAAACAGCAGAGGCGCAGACCAGGGATGCAGCTGGCCGACCACTTCACGGCCTTTATGTCGCACGACCTGAATCTCGCCCGAAACAACCTCACCAACCTCAAGTGCAGTCCACAAGCGCCCTCCGCGCTCCGGAACCTGCAAAGGCACCAAACCGGAACGCGACTCATAATCGTTCGACGTGTCCTTGTGCACCACGGCCTGAGCGTCAACTGACAAGCTCACCGTTGTGAAAGTAAGATCCGGCAGGCGTTCATGGAGTACACGACTTAGCAGCGTGGCAAAGCCTGGATGGGATTTGGTGAGACGGGTCATAGACACCACACCACCATGACGACAAGCTCCAAAGAGGTAATGAACTCCCCCCAAACAGCGAGTAGGAGCCTGGTGAGACGACCTATGTACAAACTCGGACCCCAGCACGAAATCCATAGCGGCTTGACAATCAAAAGGAACCTGTTCTGCCAACCGGGCCGCCTGAGCATCCTCATCAATCCCTGGCCCCGGTCTCTCGCGCAAAGCTCGCAAAGACCGCTTACCCCAAATCCGAAATGCAGGAGAGGGAGTTACCTTGCCACGCATGCGCCGTCTCACGGCCCCGGGCTCGGCAATCGGAGGTAAGCCCTTGCCAACGAAAAGTTGCAGATCCGATTCTTCGCCAAAGTGAAGTTTACTAACGACAGAAAGCTTGTTGCCTACTTTGACGACATAGCCTTGTCTCACATACGTGGCCGGTGCCAAAACGACAGCCGGAGTAGCACGCATATGCCATTCTCGATGCCGACGCCTGAGCCAGTGTCGAACCAAAACCTGGGTCCGGGTGCCGAACGGCACTATCGGTTTAACCGCCATACCAAACTTCCTCAAGGTATCGGCTCGCCATGTGGCGGCCGCCGCACGAAAGGCCAGGGCCCACTTAGATGTATCATTACCCACCAGCTGCAAATACACTCGTACTTGGACTTTGAGTCTTTTGACGACGTTCTCAACTCTACCGTTACTGTCATGCTCGGTGGGAGGGGCGAGTGTAAGGAGGATACCGCGAGACGCAGCATACTCCCGCAGACGCTCATCAGTAAACTCAGTACCAGCGTCAGCATGAATGCGAGCTAATGGAAAGCCAAGCTCCACAAGTTGAGCATGAATACGGCCAACCGCCAAGCACACGCTTTGCGGGGTCTTACGATCCAACAGCTCCACAAAAACAACTTCTCTCCACGCCATGCCCTCAGCCTCCTTTTCAGAATCGGATTGCTGCTTAGCCCACGCATCCTCAGGACCTCCAACCTCTGGAGCGTCCAATCGTTCACCTTCCAGCGGGACCTCAGCTTCCAAGTTTTCGCCTTCCCAAAGGGCCTCAGGACCCTCATAGACTTCGGAAGCATCATCCGCAAGAGCACCGAACCACTCATCAACGTCCTTCTGAAGCTCCTCGAAGTCAGGATCAACATCCCGCACGCAAGCATCCTTATCCTCACCCGAAGCCTGCTCTTGGTCTTCACCCAAAACTGGTTTACCCTGCGCATCGACAGGGACCACGAGGACACCTACCAGTGCATACCGACGCTTATGCGAGACATCATCTGCCACACGCACAAACGGTCCCACGACATCAAGGGAGAGACAAAACGAAGCCGGAGAATGCTGACGACGGTGCGCACGCTGCTGTGCCGAGGCCATAATACAGTACTTACACCTTCTATGCGGGGGCCAGTGTCCTGACCGAATGTGCTGAGGCCAATCAACAGAGTCAACCTTACAAGCCGACGCGCGAGAACGACTCAACAGCACCGAGGAAAGCCTGTCCCTAGCTGGCTCCCCCCAACTTGCATGCTCACACAACAACTCACCGAAGTAACTCAAGTTCTGCACGCCCGAACCGGGAACAGGACTAAGAGCATGGTCCCCTGTGCCAACAACCAACACAGACGGCTTATCCTTTCCAAGTGTTTCACACGCAACACAACTCACCTTTGCTAACAAGCCAAGGAAGATGGACTCATCCTGATCCAAGCCGCGCCTGTTATCAACCAGAATCACAGCAATCTTTCCATCAACCGCCAGCTCAAGCAACAGTCTCTGAGTGGAAGGGCTCATGAGGTGATCCTTAACTGGCAGAAGCAACGGCTCACAGCCCGACTGATGTGCCATCTTGCGGCACTCACTCCACCAAGGATCTCCTTTATAACTTATCACTACCCTATCACTCTTATTACATGCCCGGCGCTGCCGACGATTCCAACACGCGAGCGCTCCACTCCGAGGAGCCCAAGTGAACGGACAACCAACAGCCAAGTCAAACTGCCCTGACCATAACCGCCGGACTACTGCCTCCAGACTCGCAGCAACATCTTGATCCATCCGAATGGCCTCAACCAAAAACTTCACAAGGTGACGTTCTTCAGTACTCGAATACTCATGCGCAATCTGGATCGCTCTTACCGAGGTGGCTAATGCTTCGTGATATCCACTCTCAATGTCTCGAAGAAGCTCCAATGCTAGGTCTTCACTCATGCGCGGACAACCACTCGAATCGTCCATCGTGAGAACGCCCCTTACCGGATGAATCAATTCACACCTCCCTTCAGACCAAAACCAATGACACCCGAGCTTAATCAAAGGTCTCAATGCCACAATACACTCAATGTCTTGAGTGGAAACCAACGTGCCATACTCATTCATGTACAACACAGCGTTTCCCTCGGCCAAGTCTACCAGCCGACGCGTCATCCCCTCCGTAGTCTCCCCGGGCTTTAGTCCCCGAAGACAAGTGGAGGCTCCAGAATCCAACAACCCCGTACGAACACCACGAGCCTCAAGCCTGTTCAATGTTGGCTTCATTCGCAATGCTTTAGCTTGCATGGTCTTTATCAAGTTCTGGGTTTCTTTCAACAACTCAAGCTGGGCTTTAGAGGCTTGGGAACTCTCGGACGGCCTCTCTTCCTCCACTCCTTTCAAGAGGGGCTTGTTAGGATCAGGCTTATCAGCACCCTTTCCACCCGAGCCCTTGGGTTTACCACCCTTTTGACCCTTGCTTGTGTCCCCAGCATCCGTGGGACACTGATATGCCATATGACCCAACCCGCTACACACAAAACACCTGCTTCTAGCATCTGGGGCCTTCTGGAGGTCTTCATGGCTATGGGCAAAGTTGCATCGCGCTCCCCTCGAGCACCCTTTCGAGGTAAGCCAGTGATAACAAGCGTTACCCGAAGCTGACTCACTCGCCTTCCCTGAACCTTTGTTCCCTTTAGAACCCTTTTTACCACCATCCTTCCCACCATGAGGCGGATCGGCACCGTCCAATCGGGTATCAACCCGAGCAAGCTTTGGCTTTTTAGCCCCAGAAGATTCCAGAGTCTGAAGCTCTGCTTGCATCATCTCCCCTAAAGAAACCGCCTTATCTAAGGTGGGGACCAAGTCAACCGAATGTTGATGACGAAACGTTTGAAGTCTAAACTGCACGTCCGGAAACTGGGCTACAACTGACGACGTCAAGCAGTCCAGGCCGGATATTAGCAGCGTGGCATCCGGTAATGTCACTCCCAATTCAACAGCCCTCCTACGCCAACGAGCCCAACGCTTGACACCTCTCAAAGCATCCGAAACCGTTTTGGCCCCTTCTGGTGTAGCAAGATACCTCAGCAGCGCCGTACGCTCTCTAAGGCCACCAGGCTGAAATGTTGTAAGGATGATGCCCATTATCTCGATGGATGTCATGCGCCTCATTGACACTACTTCGTCCTTGATGGTAGGGGGAACTGCTTTCAACAGAAGTGCCACTGCACGCTGCTCCACTCTAGCGTACTTGCCTCTCTCGAACCTATCGGGCCTTTCAGGTTTTAGAGTGAGACGCTCAATCGGTCCACTATCCAACCACCTCGCATAATAGTCCTGGGCCGCAGATAGAGACTCGGCCCACCAATCAGAGGCATGCGCGGACAAATCCCGCAAGGAAGGGCCTATCAAAGCAACCCAATCCCCAGCAATCAAAGGAGTCAACTCCCGCTCAGTTTCCTTAACCTCAAGCTTGGGCAATTCCCCTACATTTTTCACATCCTCAACCCGATCTCGATCCACCGACCCTGTTCCTCGGATCGCCCCTTCGAGGGCGGCTGTTAACTTTTGAATGTCATTCTCCGGAGCAGGAGGTGGGGGCAAAGGACGGTAATCGTCGTGTTGAAGTTGTTCACTCCTACTGGGGGACCTACGAGGAGGAGGAGGTTTGATTTCTGTTCCACCGGGTGAAATCGGATAAACAATTCTGGGTCGTCGAGTTGGAGACTGTTCAGATACACCCGGTGCGGAAGTAGCAGTCACGTTAGCACCTTCTGCAGGAGTTCGATTTCTTTCAGGAGAGCGACTGTAACTCCTAGCATCCAAACCTCGCGACCGAGACAAACCCTCACCATGCACAAAATCATGTGGCTCTTCCCTCGTCCGTGCCGCAGCACCTGATTGATATGGACTGAAGGGAGTCCTGGCCTTCGGGTCGAAAGGAGATGCACAACGAGTTTCAGTAGTACGATTCTTACTTCCAGCAAGATGAAGTTCCACCGAATCGCAAATCGCCCCCGGTCTATCCACTCTCCCTCTTTCTCTCGACTCTCGGAGCATCTCATTTCTATCACTCAACTCCCGTTCTCTCACCCGTCTCTCACTAAACTCTCGCTCACGCTCACCTCTCTCAACACATGGTTCGAGAACCAACTCTCCTTCAGGAGAAAAGCGCCAAGAATGTCGAGTACCATCCACCACCACTGTCCCAGAACCCTTGGGGCCTCTAGCCGAGCCATGATCTAATGGAACCCCCGCAACCTGGGTTGGATTGGCATCGTCCACCCCGACATTCCCTAACGGAACAACAGCAGCAGGTCTTGGATCTGCAATGGCAAGGCTTCTCATAGCAGTCATAGCAGCTGTGACGTTGGATCCACCGGTTGTTTGATCCCCAGGTCTACGCCTAGGTCCAACATCCACTCCTCTCTCCATCCGTCTATGGCTACCAACACTTCGCTCAGATGCTGAGTTCTCGCTCGAGTGCTCCACCTCCAGCCTTTCCAAGCGTGAAAGCATGGTCGCTTGCGCCATCCTAACTTGATCAAGTGCCGGTGCCAGACTAGCCTGAATAACCGATTGTAGCATCACGCTCATTTCACCCAATACCTCATGCCGCACTCTCGCCAAACCTTCCTCAAGTTGCGTCTGCCCTGTATTCCAACTGCTCGGCGAACCCGAGGCTGCACCCGGTGATAAACCAACCGCTGCTAGTGCACGGTTCGGATCATGGTCTACACTACCTGCTCCAGGTCGTAACACTGGTCGTGATGATGTCTGCGGCTTCTCAGGGCTGGCAACTTCCGATTTGGAGCTTTCTTCAGCCGGTAAGGCCGAATAATCTGGGACCAGTTCTGGCTCATCGATGTCCATAACCGGTAGTCTTGACCCCTGGGAAGCTGGAGAAGGACCAGTTGCTTCTACACGATAAACTCCCAACCTCGGTGACTCTTGATGTTCGCGGTCCATAGCCTCTCTCTCATATGGCGGATGAAGGTCCTGCTCTGATACACAGCTCATGTGTGATCTTTCTGAAATACCACCGTGGTCATCACCACCATACATAGCCGCCTGCACTGAATAACCCCAATTCGTTGGGGAGCTGTCTCTTGCAGATTCGGGCGGAGCTGAACTATCCATGGCACGAACGACTTGGGCTCATAACCCCCGGAAGGGGGATGGCCACAGCAGTACTGTTTCCACGAGCGAACGACCGACAGAAAAGCATCTTAACAGCTTGCTGTACAAGTTCCTATACACTTCTGTCTTTTGTCGAGAAGGTGCTTTACCCCCCAATAAGCAGAGCAACATGTTTCTTCTTCTATACAACTACTTTCTACTCTATCTTCTTCTTCTTGCATCCAGAGCCTGAGCATCGGCTTACCTGATCTCCGACCTGAACCCTCATAAAAGGGAATAAGGGCCTACTCCAGGTCCTAGGATTCGGTTCCATGCTCTTTTCCCTCGTAGGCTTTATCATTTCCGGACTCGGGTTGGCGCTTCTTAGCATTTCAATCCTTCGTAAGGGGACGGAGATCACTGAATTGCTAGATTCTCGAGTCTTGAACTGTGGGGCACTTCTATGACTGTAGCTCTTTTCGGGGGGGGTGCCTTAACATGTCTATTCGATGAACCGGACCGTAACTAACTAGTGACATGGAATCAGCTATCCAGAAGAAAGACGCCATCAGTCATGATCTACAGTAGACGCCCTATGCCCACGAATTCCTGGCACACCGGTCAAACACTTAATGACCTTGCGTCCTGATCGCTAACCCCGTCAGAGCGTCAAAGATCAGAGTCGTTGGCCATCTTGGTCAGGATTTCCAAGGTCCTGGCTAGTCTTCTGCGCACTCGCAGCTCGGGAATACAGAACCTCCGAATGATTAGGCTAGGCTTCTGGGATGTTCTTTCGTACAGGGATACTAGGGAAGCCTTTACATGTAGCAATCTCCCGGCATGTGCCAGACACAACTTGCTCTGGATTGCTGTCAGCCTTGCTGGGCCTTGCTTCTACGCCGAAACTCTGGGCTTGGGCCATAAACCCCAAAACCTCAAAGCCCCAGACCCGCCACAAACATTGCATAAACCCTCGGGCTGGGGGGAGTTTTGGAATCAAGCTT